TATGATAAAGGAAAGACTCATCCTTAAATACTTCCTTGTTCGCTCGAGTGAGAATTTATGCTCATGACTTCTTAACAAATTATCAGATTGTACTTTCCCTCTTTATTTTAACTGTGGGATGTGCCAGTGGACGACACAATAAAGTTTTAAGGATAAAATTGCACATAAACTTTTAGTTTTTGCGGTTTTTAAAATTGTTCTGGCAATTCTTTAAATAAATAAGAATTTAGGAACAACTTTCGTCTTCACTACGAATCTGAATACCTTCAGAGTAAAAGAAATACGTGAGTACTGTCAAGTATGACATAAGGAATTCAGCCAGAAGATGCTACTGCTCATATTACATGGTAAATTTCTGTTAACAATATTATTGTAAGGAGAAGAGTGTAACTGAGAAATTTGCATAGAGATGAAATTTATGTGTCTCTGTTACATAAACATGAATAATATGGCAGGAACTAGTGTATCGGGCAGAAACCCAATGCGGATATATTCACACCGTACCATCAAAAGTCTTATGGATAGACCAAGATTTGCTCAGCATAAGTTTGAAGGGTGGGCGTGAAGTACGGACGAGACCCATATCGACACAGTTCAAAAGATATACCTAATTTATGTCATAATTATGTCAACTACAAAAACACTTAGTTTGAATTTTGTCACCCTCGGGAACACTATGAACCATTATAGCTGATTTTGGTCCAAATCTCGGCCATACTTCACACTTATTTGAACCACATTTTCTCGTAAATGTTAAAATATTATTAAAAAGTAATTAATCCTGAATTATTTCGCTATTTTGTCAAGTGTTTTAAGATAAAGAATTTTTTTTTTGGTTTCCACAGTGAAGAGTATGAACAAAATTCAGATGGGGCAGTCAAAATTTTAGATTTCGATTTTTTTTAAGCTATGCATTACAAAAAGTAATATTGGTATGTGATTTATGTCAGAATTATGTCTATTCAAATAAAACATCCAAAAAAATTTTTTGACCAAAGAACCAAGTAGAAATGCATTTTTAATTATGAACTTGGGACAGGTCTAGTCAAAATCTCGTTTTTCACTGTTTTTTCTTCGAGGATAAATCCAAATACAGTAAAACTTTGTAAGAGCATTCTAATCCTCAGGTCACATATTTCTGATTTAATAAAAATCATTTTTTTGGAAAAATTTTAAGTCACGTTGTTTTTATATGTAGAACCAAAATTTATAAAATTTGGGTCTGACGACATATAGAATACATTTCTTGCTTTAGATATTTAAAACTGTTTTGTATTAATATTAGTATACTCACACAAAGTTTCACTGTAATTGGATAAACCTTCGAAGAAAAAGAGTGAAAAACTAGATTTTGACTAGACCTGTCCCAAGTTTATAATTGAAAATGCATTTCCTACTTGGTTCTTTGCTCAAAAAATTTTTTGGATGTTTTATTTGTATTTGTTTTAAGCACTAGAATATTTATGCAAAGTTTCAATCCATTTGGATAAACCCTCGAAGAAAAAAGTGACAAACTGATTTTGACTAGGGTCGCCCCTAGTCCAAAATTGAAAATGTATTTCCTACTTGGTTCTTTGCTGAAAAAAATTTTAAGATGTTTTATTTGTATTTATTTTAAGCACTAGAATATTTATGCAAAGTTTTAATTCATTTGGAAAAACCCTCGAAGAAAAAAATGACAAAATTGATTTTGACTAGGGTCGCCCTTAGTCCAAAATTGAAAATGTATTTCCTTCTTGGTTCTTTGCTCAAAAAAATTTTAGGATGTTTTATATGTATTTGTTTTAAGCACTAGAATATTTATGCAAAGTTTTAATTCATTTGGAAAAACCCTCGAAGAAAAAAGTGACAAAATTGATTTTGACTAGGGTCGCCCCTAGTCCAAAATTGAAAATGTATTTCCTACTTGGTTCTTTGGTCAAAAAAATTTTAGGATGTTTTATTTGTATTTGTTTTAAGCACTTAAATATTTATGCATAGTTTCAATCCTTTCGGATAAACCTTCGAAGAAAAAAGTGACAAAATTGATTTTGACTAGGGTCGCCCCTAATAGGGTTTGGGGAATCTGTTAACAGAATACAGAAAAACAGCTACTTTTCGTCAAAAATCTGTTAACAGAAATCAGGTCTCAAAAACAGATCTGTTTTCTGTTTTTCATTTTACATAAAATTTACAGAAAAAAAAATTTCTTAATTTTTTGAAGAACTTAATATATTTTTCTAGCATTTCAAATTGTATTTACTATTTTAATATTTTTTGGATGTTTAATAGGTTTGAAATCATTATCAAATTTATGGTTAATCATTATTAATTTTGCAATCGAAATTTTAAATTTGTTGAACCTTTTGTAGCATTTACTAAAGTTTAAAAATATAATCAACAATTTCACAAGATATTTTTTTATTCATAAAGATTTTTTGAATATTTCAAAAAAAATATTAGAGCTTATGGAACTTTTACAATGCAACAATGCAATGTTACTTAAAGGTATAAATTTTTTTGGATTTTTGTTTTTGCATTTTTATATTTCATTATATTTTTTAGAGTTAATTAACATAAAAAAATAAGAAATAATAATGCTTAGCTCTAAAATGTATGTTTAACTGCTTATAACCACCAAAAAGTTTCATTATCTTAGAGAAACACTTAGGATAACTCAGTTTATTTTGAATTCTAGAAAAACAGGAAAACAGCTGTTTTTAAAATTCAAAATCCGAAAACAGACTGTTTTTCAAAAACAGCTGTTTTCCACAAACCCTAGCCCCTAGTCCAAAATTGAAAATGTATTTCCTTCTTGGTTCTTTGCTCAAAAAAATTTTTTTCATCCAAAGTTTAATTTAAACTAGTGTATCGGGTAGAAACCCAATGCGGATTATATTCACACCGTACTATCATAACTCTTATGGATAGACCAAGATTTGCCCATCAGTAGTATGGAGGTATGAAGCTTGATAAGTCAACTAAGCTTCGCTCAGCATAAGTTTGAAGTTATAAAGCTATCGCGTAAGCTGAGCTACGCTCAGCATAAGTTTGAAGATATAAAGCTAGAGTGTCAGCTGAGCTACGCTCAGCATAAGTTTGAAGTTATAAAGCTATCGCGTAAGCTGAGCTACGCTCAGCATAAGTTTGAAGATATGAAGCTAGAGAGGCAGCTGAGCTTCGCTCAGCATAAGTTTGAAGTTATAAAGCTATCGCGTAAGCTGAGCTACGCTCAGCATAAGTTTGAAGATATAAAGCTAGAGTGTCAGCTGAGCTACGCTCACCATAATTTTGAAGGTATAAAGCTTGACGAATATGCCAAATATTCTTTATAAGTTTTTTAAAAAAAATTTTCATCCAAAGTTGAATTTTATAAAAATCACAGTCAACTTTTGTTTTAAAAAATTCGTAAGAAAGGAAAGTTTTTTGCCATTTCTGAAGCAACGGCTGTTCCTACCTTGCCCAAAAACAATACAGCTCTTCTATAGAGCAGCACGGATCAAATGTAAAAAACTAGAAGTCTCTACGATGTCTCGTTATTGAGATTTCTTGCTGATTAACTTGCTTGCTTGCTTGCTTGCTTGCTTGTTTGCTTATAGAAAGCGTATTTTGCGATTTTCTCAGCAATGCCACAACCAATTTGAAATCTGTTTTTTGAAAATGATGTAAAATTTTAGGCACAAACTTTTCTTCTTGCCCTTTTATAACCAATTTTGCTTTGTTTTCTCACAAAATGCGAAAAACTGATTTTTCAATCTGAACAAAACCAATAGATTCACACGTGAAAACGGTGTGAATATAAAAATCCTTTTACATGCACACAGTTCCAGTAAACATTTATAAGTGATTTCCATAGATAGACGACGTAAATGAGAGAATAGAAAGATTATTTATGATGAAATTTCGTCAACAGACACCTGATGCATTATAAGTCAGGCTGAGCAGGTGGATGACATGTAGGATGACTTATATGAATTTTAAATAATTTATTGTTAATAAAACATTACAATGATAATGCTCAATGATCAAACTAGATGTTGATGTTGTCTGATCCACGATCTCATTGGTGACTTAAGATCTATTCCATTCTGAGTTTTTGGTGGCAATTAATAATGTCATGCAATGTAACAGTTAAGTGCCTTGCTGGTCGAATAGGTAAGGCGCTTGGCTCAAATTTGGTATGGTAACTCGAAGGTCGTCGGTTCGAATCCAGCCATTTCCAAATTTGTTCTTTTTCAGAAGTTTAGATACTTCGACTGCTTAATGTACGAGATCAAGCCATAATCGGGCATTTTGGGCAACGTTAGATTAAGGAACGGATCAGGAACTTGAAGTGTAGCGGGAGAAATAGGAACGAGAGCTACAAGATTACCTTATAATGGAATATTGTCAGAACGGACCTGAAATGTATCACGTCACGCCCACAGAAGATTGAAACGAGAGCCTGAATTTAATCGAAACCTAGATTTGAAGATTAGAAGCTTGATTCTACGTCACCCATAGTGATATGAAATGTATCACTAATCAATGTAAAAAGTAAAACATATAAATATAAAAAGTAAAAATTTGTAAAGGTTGGCTTTAAGAAAAGAATTCTAAATTTAAAACTCCATAATTAAATCAGAATGTTCTACAAATATTAAGAAAATTAATGGAAGCATGGGAAACCAACAAAATGTGAGCAATTATATAATTCATGGAATCAATCAATTTACGAGAAATAAGGTTTAATGATGAGTTTCAAAGGTTATATATGAAAAATAATTCAATTATTCATTTGAGGTGAGATTAATAATATTAACATTTCAAAGAATATTGATTGCGATAAAACGGTTTTGAAAAATTCAAAATTCTAATTCAGCGTTATTGCAAGTTAAGCTTTAAAGCATGCTTTTCATGCTGCATTATGGACAGTCTGTCAAATAAAAACTTTTATCACCTTTTATTTTTAAAAAGCTCAAAAAATAATGTAAACATTCGCTGTTCCTGTAATTTAAAACCCGTTCCTTTAATTATTTAACATGGATAAGTTTGACATCGCTAATCCGTGCACTGCTACATATTTTAATCAAGAAGGACACATAATATTTGATCCATGTGTTTACATTCAGCGCTACCAAGGTAATTAATATTAATTTAAGCTTGAAAAACACCGGCTATCAGTCAAATTGCACTTTTTCGTACGAATTCTGTGCATGTAACATGATCTACATGCTTTTCTGCAGAAGTAATGCCATTTTGCATGTTTAGAATAAAGAATCTCTAGATGTTAACTGAAAAATCAATATTTAATTCCAGCGACACTTAATTGCTTAAAGCTAGAACAATTCAAGAAGAAAGTCAATAGGATTGTTGAGTTTGGATGTGCTGAGATGAAGTTCTTCACATATATTAAGACAGGATTGACTGACAGGAAGCTGTGGGTCAAATTAGTCGATATTGATGAGGATCTTTTATTAAGATGCAAAGGTCATGTACATCCACTACTCATGGATCATGTTAAGAAGCGTGAAAATGAGTTGAATGTTGAAGTTTGGTACGGAGATGTGTCAATTAACAATCCAAATTTTAAAGATATAGACGCAGTTATTGCAATCGAATTAATAGAGCATTTATATCCACAAGTCCTTGACGAAGTTCCATATCAGATATTTGAGAATCTCAATCCAAAAATTGCAATATTTTCAACGCCAAATTGCGAGTTTAATAAAGTCTTTGACCTAGAACCCGGAAAGTTCAGACATGCTGATCATAAATTCGAGTGGACTCGAGAGCAATTTAAAGATTGGTGTGATCATATAATTGTGCGTTTTCCTGAATATTCTTATAAGATGGAAGGCATTGGAAAACCTCCAATTGGATATGAAATAGAAGATGTAGGATACAGCTCACAATTTGCGCTTTTTGTGCGCAATGATATACTTGACTTTCTAAATGAGCCGTATGAATCAAATAATGATAATGACGTAGAGACAGCTCAAAATAAGGAAGTTGTACCCGAAAGTCACGTTCATTGTGACGGATACATTTTATTAGGCACAATAGATTATCCTGTATTTCAGGACTTGAGGAGCAAGATAGAGAAGATTATAGACGAAGTTTGTTACCATGTCAATCGTTATAAATATATGGAAGAGCAATTTTATAATCTGGATAATTATCGGACTGAAATTCCAATCAACTTAGTCACTCAAGCATGCTGGGAGACATCAACAAATGAAGAGGAAATAGCCAATATAATCAAAGAACGTTATCAAGTCGAAAATAATTTTATAATCATTGAAGACGAAGCTCTTGATTTTGAGCAGCAAGATGAGGGTGACTGTCAAGGTGAAAACATTGAATAAATTTTAATAAATCCGAGAGCTTTTAATCCAAAGAAACTTTTTATGCTTTTTAACGGTATTTTTTTGCATTTCAGGGTTGAGCTTTTTTTACATCGCAGGGGATTGTCAACCGTAGTCAGTTTATTTTTGTTCGCTGAGTGTGTACAACGTCTGTCTCCTTAAATTAATTAATTTCTCAGTAACCGAACCGTGTCATTTGTGCAAAACAGTCATTCATTAAAGTAATCAATTAGTTGAGCATGGATTTTATCAAGTTTAATTGAAGAACTTGGCGAGAGAAGCAAAAAAGGTAAAAATAAATTTTTCACAAATACAAAATGAGGAACTGCGGCACTAGAAGGAATTTGTACAATTGTATAAGTTCTTCAGCTGTTTATTCTTGACCTACATTAATGTTTTTTTGCCGATGAAGATATCGCATTGGTCTGTTTTATCGCGATTTGCTAGAACATTAATTATTTGTACTTGTGCATCCATTAATTCAAGTTCATTGCCGTTCCGTGCTGTCTATAAATACAATCACATAAGAAAAAGCGCAGTATGTGCATCTTCTGCATGCATAAAATATTTACAAATAGAAGTTCCTGAGAGATAAAGCGGAAAAATTTTCAAGGACATGAACAGTGAATCAACAAGTGATTACTGGGTGTCTGAATGATAGCGTGACTTGATGTCTCAGCTAATCTATGAACTTTAATAATTATTGCGTCACATTGAATGCAATAAAATACTTAATTATCGATTTCTTATGCTTAATACTTGCTTATCAAAATACTCAATACATTCTCAGTTCCAATTTTCTCTTTTTGTGAGCTTAACATTTTCTCCTTTGCTTGCACATTGATAAATCGTGTGTCGGCAATAATATTAATTAAGAGAAAAAAGCTCGATTCTCGCTCAGTTAGTATTCATTTAACTTTCGTGAATGTTGGCTCGTATCGGTCTGATTGAGACAATGTAAAGCATTTATACCTAACCGACCTTACCAAAAATTGGCAATTACCGAATTTTGATTACTTTGTGTGACATAAAAAACTGATATTCAGTTCAATTTGATAATTTGTTGACTCAACAGTTGTTATCTCCGTAAAAAAAAACGTTCATAATGTTAAAAACTGATGGAACTAAGGGCACCTAATTGATTAGGTAAATAGCGGTGTTAAATACCTTCGAAATATAACGACCAATAAACATTTGAAATACAACTGTCAATTTTTTTTTGAAAAATAACGAAAATTTTGTCGTTTTTAAAATATTTTTCAATCGTTATTTATTGAAATATTCGAAACAAAAGTTTTTTGAATTGATCTCTAACTAGCATGTGACGTGAGGTATTGTAAAATATTTTGATCATAAACGGAATTCTAGACAATCAACATCGTCCATAAGAAACAACTCAAAACTGCTAAGTCACGATGAAATCGCTGAAATAAATTGATACATCCAAAATTAATGTCAATACATAAATGTGTGTCCATGTTCAATTTACGAGTTTTATCGAATTTTTGGTCGACAGAATTAAAAACTTTTTGGAATGCTTCATAATGAAAAAAAAAATAAAATAATTTTCAAGTCAAGTGCAGCTGTACAGCACTAAGTAATGACTGAACATACGGATAAACTCCAATATGATTTTTATTTTATTTTTTAAAAATACCTCAACAATGCTATTTTTCACTTTAGTGTGTGCTTGATGCTCGTCGGCGACAGTTCGGTGTTCTTGGTGAATAATTTCACATAGATAACGTGACTGGCTGGCTGTTGTTTAAAATTGTCAATTATCACAGCTCGTTTAATTCAATTTTAATACTTAGCGATAAAAATAATTAAATTATTTGTTGTTAAAGTTTAATTTTGTATGAAAAGTGACTTGTTGACAAAAGAAACCGTATTTTTCGCAGAAGGAATTAAAGAACATTTTAATTAAAGCTGTTTGTGCACTTAAAGTGATAAAAAATTGCTAACAAATGATAAGTTTCTGATAAGAAAAGGCAAGTTACAGCAAAATATAGGTTTATTACAGCTTCATACATTATAAGTTTTATTGCTTTCGCGTGAATTGCCAAAAATGGTTATCAGTTGAAAATTGAGACAAGACACACGGCATGCTTCTTGCCTGGTTGATGCAATATTGTGTGATTAAGAGTAATTAAAATTAAAGATCAGCAAAGTGTGACTTCCACGTGACTGAGAAATCTCTAATAATTAATAGCTCTATAGCTCCAAAATGCACCCCATCCACTTACATAACTCTTGTAAATAAAAGTTTTTAATTGCTGCTTTTTGTTTAAATTAATTGAGCAATACAACAAGTTGATTGATTGTTCTGATATGATAACTACAAATGACTTTTTTTTTTTTATTTAAAACCTTAACTTTTTATACTTACTCTCCACGTAAAGGAAAAAGCCTCCTCAAACAGTACTTAAACTGTTTGAGAAGGCATAAAAAACCTTTATGGAGATTACATATATTCTTAACTATCTACTGTTAACATGAATTATTTGAATAACTAAAACTATGAAAGAGATCAATGAGACATTAGTCTCCTTTAAGACTCTTTCTTACAAGAGACTTGAATTGCTGCGTTTGTAGTTTTGTGTTTCTGATTACAATTAATGTGAATTCTTTTCTGTGTCAAGCTAGACGGTGATTCTTCACTTTTCTTATTAAGAATATTGACTGTTAATAGTTCAAAATTATGTGTTTTATGGAAATTCACTTGTCTCAAGTGCTGATCGACTTAGATAATACTATCTGATTGAATGACTTCATATTTAAACTACAACTCTGAATTGAAATTTTAAACATTAGTTTACGAACAGAAGTCGAAGACGGATGTGAAATTTTACTGTGTGTAATACAATATTTTATAGTGTCTGGAAGATACATTGTTGTGAATCACAATTCGGAAGTATGTTCTAAAGATTGATGTGAATTTCATAAAATAATAAAACTTGTTGTTTTTACGTAACGTAAAAAGTGTACAAATCCAACGTGAAGATGCTAAAAAATTGATAGCGGGAACGAGAACAAATTATACATGTCCATAATTATATGACATGGAACCAGTTTGAATGAATTCTTCAAATTTTAAACTTTTTCTTTTCGAACCCACAGAAGAGAAGCCTTATTAATTCATCGCCCACATCAACTACGCATTTGTAAAAAAAAATCATGTTATGGTGCTTTATGTTGCCTGAACTCTACAAAAACTGATAGAAATTCTTATTATGAACTACACAAATATTTGTGCTCAATGACACGAAACCTTTAAAGATGATTAACTTATCGATATTATGAATCTTTATTCGCTTGAGTGGCATTTAATCAATTTGTTTTAAGAGCTAGATGTGGCAATTAGATCTGAATGGGTTTGGGGAAATTATCAAATTCTGAGAAATAACTGTTTGTGCTGAATTGACCATTTTTAAATGGATTTTCCCAGACTATTTACTGTTTAGCTTGTTAACATGGCAGTATGGGGTGGGTTGCATTAGAAAAATTTAATAAAAACTTTTTAACATACTTAGGGTTCGTTCACTTATTACGTAACGCACTAGGGGGGGAGGGGGGGTCTAAGATTTTGTTACGGTTTGTTACAGGGGGAGGGGGGGGGGCCTAAATTTTGTTACGTAACTTTTCAAAAAATATATTTTTTTATAATTTTTTCTATATTAATTTTAAATTTTAAAGAAAGTATAATAAACATTTGATAAACAATTTCAAAAATTATTGTTACGTTATGGGGGGGGGGGGGAGGGGGGGTCTAAGATTTTGTTACGCTTTGTTACAGGGGGGGGAGGGGGGTCTAAAAACTCGTTTTTTTGCGTTACGTAATAAGTGAACGAGCCCTTATCAAAAAAATGGCTGTTATTTTGAAAATTCAAAAAAATTTATCGCTGAGTTTTAAATAGTTTCTGGCAGTTATTTTTCAAATATTTTTTGTTCGTTATTTTATAAAAACTTTTTGACTGTTCAAGCCAAAAGAACGTAAAATCAATTGATTTCACTTGCAACACGAACAAGGGCGTAGCCAGAAAATTTTTAAGAAGGGGGGGGGGGGTTATTTTGTACCGTTATTTTGTATCCTTAAATCTATATTCATTCTTCATAAGTTTAAATATTTAATTCATTATTCATACATTAAATTTAATTTTTCGTGCTGATTTTGACATTTCTTTCATCACTTCCTCTACAATAACTGGTTCTTCTCTATAAATACTTAATAAAACAATTATCAGATTTTCCCCCTGGCTACGCCCCTGGACACGAATCTTTCAATTGTCTGATTTCAATAACTTATTCATTTACAGTAAGACTGACATTGCGACACAACATTGATCAAATTTAATTGGCTGACAGTAGCAAATCAATAATATTTTTAAATTATAAAAATGGAATCGCTTACAAAAAAAGAATTACTGGCTGTACATCCGAGAGAAAAAGGAGGAGTATTTTCTTATCTGACATTCAGGTACGTTCATTGACTTGACTTGATTGCACTTTATTGTGTAACATTTAATGACTTATGCAGCTGGGTGCTGCCGCTTTTGGTGAAAGGAAAGAAGAAGGTGCTTGGATTAGAGGATTTATATCAGCCATTGGAGCAGCATAAAGCTATAAATTTAGGAACAAAAATAGAAAAGGCATGGGAGTCGGAATTGGGAAAGAAAAGAGCACAGAACAAAAGTCCTAGCTTAATGAAGGCTGGATTAAAGGTTTTTGGTGGAGAATTGACAGTGTATGGAATATTTCTGTTGCTGATTGAGATGTGCCTTAAAGTTACAAGTCCATTTCTATTGGGTAAAGAAACTTGATTTTATTTGAGAGACACAAACTTAAACTTGTCAATTTCAACAGGTGGAATCATTAGATATTACGCCAATCCAGCAGAAAGCAGTTCCAATGAACCCTATTTATATGCTGGCGGTTTAATTCTTTGCAGTTTCCTCAATGTGATATCTGCACACAGCTTAATGCTAAGTCAACTGAATCTTGGACTGAAAATAAGAATAGCTGCATGCTCATTAATTTACAGAAAATCACTTCGACTGAGCAAATCGGCATTAATAAATACAACTTCAGGACAAGTTGTGAATCTATTATCCAATGATGTTGGACGTTTTGAGTTGATCACAATGTTCTGTCATTATTTATGGGTTGGGCCTGTCGAGACTTTAGGTAAGTTAATTAATCATTGTGAGAATCAGCAATAAAAGTCTTTTGGCATATTGTTGTGTGATATTTTCTAAATTTATTTAATAATCTTAAATCTAAAAAATGACATACGTATGCTGAATATTTGTCCACAATCAAATAACATTCTTCAATATTTTATTATTAACTCACATTCTCCATTCATTGCAGTAATTGGCATACTTATGTACAACGAGGTATGTAACAAATAAACCAAAACATCAATTACTTTGTGCATAACTTTCAATTTATTTTCAAAACAGATTGGCATATCTGCAATAGCTGGTATTTTATTCTTGCTGATGTTCATTCCATTCCAATGTAAGTCAATTTGTTTTGCTTGTCAATTTATTGTGTGAGTCAACTTGTTCTTCCTGTACAGTTTATCTTGGAAAGAAGACATCACAATTGAGACTGAGAATTGCTTTGCGAACTGACGAGAGAGTTCGATTGATGAATGAAGTAAGTTTGTGAATATTTTAAGGTTTGGACACTTTTTGCTTACTTTTTATCTACGGAAACCTTTTTACGACTTTTATTTACTCCAAATCATCAAGTTTGATCAACTTTGGCAAAAGCCCCATCTTTTGAAGTGTATTCACACAGTGTCTACGCCAAAAATTACAATTGATGACTTAATTGTTTCTTTATTTTATTTAAAATTGCTATCTGACAGATAATACAAGGCATTCAAGTCATTAAGATGTACGCTTGGGAAATGCCATTTGCCAAAATCATTTCGTTTGCACGTAAGAAGGAAATTCGTTCAATTCGCTATGCATCATACATAAGAGGCATCCTATTATCGTTCATTATGTTCAGCTCTCGTGTTTCAATTTTTACAAGCTTAGTCATGTATGCTTTACTCGGGAATGTTTTGACGGCACAACAAGCTTTTGTTGTTACAGCTTATTATAATGTATTAAGGCAGACAATGACTGTATTCTTTCCGCAAGCAATTGGATTTCTGGCTGAGACAATTGTTAGTGTAAAGAGATTACAGAAGTTTATGATGTATGAGGAACTTGATCGTGACTTTCAAAGTGCACCGAAGAAAAATGAAAATAAGTCTGAATGTAATGGAAATGGAACTTCCAATATTCTACATAAGCCTGGAGTTTCTTTAGAAAAAGTTTGTGCTAAATGGAAAGGAGAGTCATCTGACTTGACATTAAGTAACCTTGACCTTCGTGTTCAGCCTACAACTGTTGTAGCTGTAATTGGAAAGGTTGGAGCTGGAAAGTCAAGCTTAATTCAAGCTATTTTGGGTGAATTGCCAACTGAGAGTGGAAAAATTGAAGTCAATGGGAAGATTTCTTATGCATCTCAAGAACCTTGGTTATTTTCTAGTTCTGTAAGACAAAACATTCTTTTTGGACTTCCAATGGACAAGATTAGGTACCGAGAAATTGTTAAAGTCTGTTCATTGACACGAGATTTTGAAATTTGGCCTGAAGGTGATAAAACAATTGTCGGTGAACGAGGCATGAGCTTATCAGGCGGACAAAAAGCACGAATTAATTTAGCACGTGCCATTTATCGACAAGCTGATATTTATCTGCTCGATGATCCACTTAGTGCTGTTGATTCGCATGTTGGTCGACATTTATTCGATAACTGTATCAAGAATTTCCTAAATGATAAGATTGTCATTCTCGTTACACATCAATTACAATACCTTCCAACAGCTGATCAGATTGTGCTGCTTGATAATGGACAAGTACAAGCTGTTGGTACGTTTGAGAGTTTAAGAGATTCAGGCTTTGATTTTGCTAAATTATTACCGGAAATAGAAGAAAAGCCAGATGAAGATGTAGAAAAAATTGAAAAGTTTCAAAGATCAATGAGTAAATCAAGCAATGATAGTCGAGTATCTTATAAGAGACATGACAGCATATCAAGCACAATATCCTTAGAATCTAGAGAGGCAGAAGTGGAAGCGACAAAAGTTAATCGTGAAGAGAAAAGTTCCGAAGGTTCAATATCATGGAAATATTACATTGCGTATATTAAAGGAACTGGTGGATATACTGTTGGAATTATCATCCTTATTATGTTTGTATTGACGCAACTATTAGCATCAGCTGGTGACTACTTCTTGACATATTGGGTATCTAAAGAAGAAGAACGAAATTCATTAAAACAAAGTGAAAGGACTTTAGAATTAGTCAGTAACAACAGCACGAGTGACTCAATACTATCCAAAATCATCCCATACTTCTTTGAAGGAGTCGTTTATGATCGTAGCATTGACATTTACATTTTTAGCGCCTTAGTTGTGTCCACAGTCATCATAACATTAAGCAGAAGCTTCTTTTTCTTCTCAGTTGCCATGCGAGCATCTCGAAAACTTCATGATGCTATGTATTTAGGCATAACTAACGCTACAATGCTGTTTTTTAATTTAAATCCCTCTGGACGTATACTTAATAGATTTAGTAAAGATATGGGACAAATTGATGAAATATTACCAATGACTGTTGTGGATGTGCTGCAAATATTTCTGTCATTGGCCGGTATCATTGTGGTCGTTGCAGTCGTGAATGTTTATACCTTAATTCCAACGGTTGTTATTGCTATTTTGTTCTATTTCATGAGGGATTTCTATCTAAAGTCAAGCAGGAATTTGAAGCGTATGGATGCGACAAGTAAGTTCATTAAGACAAACGTCTTATTGCTTATTAATTGACTGTTTGTTATTTACAGCACGTTCACCGATTTTCTCACATCTTGCTGCCACACTTAATGGTCTCTCGACAATTCGAGCTTTTGATGCTGAAACAATTCTTTCGGATGAATTTGATAATCATCAAGACTTGAACAGCACAGCATTTTATCTGTTTCTTGCTGCCAGTCGAGCTTTTGGATTCTGGCTGGATTTTGTTTTGTGCATTTACATTGCCTTAGTCATTGTAAGTTTCTTTTTCATGGGAAATTCAGGCGGTAATGTAGGATTGGCTATAACGCAAGTGATGGGATTGACAGGCATGCTGCAATGGGGTAAGAAAGTCTTTGATTTAATCTGAAGATTTAACTTAATCCAAGGATTATATTCTTGTAGATTTTTCCAAAAAAATACCGTTATTTTAAGTATTTTCTGACGGTTAATTTCAATATTTTTCTTTTCATCCTTATAGGCATGCGACAGTCAGCCGAACTTGAAAACAACATGACAGCTGTCGAGCGTGTTGTCGAGTATCAAAGTGTAGATCCAGAACCACCACATGAATCTCCAGAAAATAAGAAGCCACCAAAAGATTGGCCAAAAAGTGGAGTAATAAAGTTTGATAAGCTGTCATTAAGCTATTATCCATCAATGGAAGATAAGGTGCTTAAAGATCTAGAATTTGAAATTCGTGCAAATGAGAAAATTGGAATTGTTGGAAGAACTGGTGCTGGAAAGAGTTCAATAATTAATGCCTTATTCCGTCTTTCATATTTAGACGGTTCAATTTACATTGATTTAAAAGAAACACAAGAAATGGGCTTGCATGACTTGAGATCAAAAATATCGATAATTCCGCAAGAACCAGTACTGTTTTCAGGCACAATGAGATACAATTTAGATCCATTTGATGAATATAATGATGATAAATTGTGGATGGCACTTGAAGAAGTGAAATTGAAGGAATTAATTAAGGAGATGCCATCAGGATTAAATACAAAAATTACTGAAGGTGGAACCAACTTTTCAGTCGGTCAACGTCAACTTGTGTGCCTTGCACGAGCCATTCTACGTGAAAATAAAATTCTTGTTATGGACGAAGCAACTGCAAATGTCGATCCACAAACTGATGGCTTAATTCAAAAGACAATTCGTCTGAAATTTGCAGAATGCACGGTACTTACAATTGCTCATCGACTTAATACAGTCATTGACTCTGATAGGATATTAGTGATGGATGCAGGAAGATGTGTTGAGTTTGGTACGCCACATGAGCTTTTATCAAAAATAAATGAACCAAGAATATTTTATAATATGTTGAAAGAATCAGGGAAGGAGACATTCGAAAGTCTAAAGAAATCTGCAGAACAGGTAAAATAAATCTCAGGATTTAATTAAATCTTAGGGTTAAATTTTTTAAATCCGACGGTTTAAAATTTCTTAAAATTTTTTCATCCCACAGAACGATCTTGCCCTAAAGAAGGAGTTGTAAACAATAAAACTGCCATTTTGATGTTCCTATTAAATTAATTTAGGAAGCACTTTACCCAAGAACACATTAGATTATTGTTACTTAATTTTAATACGTGTACTTATAGTTTATTTTTTATGAATCATTCATATGCTGAGGATATGTTATAGAATTAACGATCTACATAAACTATATTTTAAGGTGTCTATTTAAAAATTTATCTCAGATGTAAATTTGTGATTCGTCAAGTATTATAGAGTTCAAAATTTCTTAAAAATGCAAAATTATTCGGTTAGGAATGTACGGAAACGATGTGCTTAAATTAAGTGCCTGAACAATTTTTATGTAGAATTCAATAAATGATATTTTATCGAAGTAAAAGTTGTGGATTTTTCTTGAATTAACATTAAGAATTACAGACTAAAAGTAACCAGAATTAACCGTTTAAAACTATTTGAATATTAACGACCAAAAAATATTTGAAAATAGCTCAATAACTGCGGCTGAAATTTTCAAAAAATCTTTAACGGACGAATAAAACAAGAAATTTGATTAAATTCAATTTTTATTATAACTTGTTAAGTATAATTAATTTTAAACTCAATCTACGCTAATTCAATTATTTAAAATAAATATTATTTTTATCTTGTTCCTTATTTTCATACTCGCGTGCCTTATCAAGTCAATTTAGTGTGTTTATTAATGCAAAAGATTCTTCAATATCCAATAACGTCCGTGTCTAATGCATTTGATAGACATAATCAGTGAGGTAAAATGCTATGCGTCATAATCGGATATGAGATGATTGGTTGACTTGCATTTGAAATAGCTGCTTGAAGTGCTTGTGATGTGTTTATAGACAGTCCAATTGAAGGAACAGCAGGCGATAAAGTGATTTGTGACGTTCCCAAGATTTGTTGTGTCTGTTGTGATGTATTGGCTGTAGCATGAATCGTACCAACAATTGGAGGGACATTAGGTGGAGTGGTAATAATTTGTGTCTGTGGCGCTGCCATTGAGACTATTGGTGCACTCAGAACTTGTGGATTTTGTACTGGTGCCATGCTTGCACTTATAACTTGTGTCTGTGCTTGTTGCTGTTGAGCTTGAGTGTGTGTAACGGTCACTGGATTAACTACACGTGAAACTTGAACTGTCGAAATACGTAATTGAGCATTTTGTGTCATTAAATATTCATTTGATGCTCTTAGTTCCGCAATTTTTAACTCATTAGCCTCAACACGTCTTTTGAGCATTTGATGCTCTTCCTCAAATCTTCTTAAAACGACCATAATGTCATCTTCACGACACCTCTTAAACTTTGATTCTTGTTGTTGCATAAAGTCTTGATCTTGGCTACTTAATCGTTTTAAGCTATTCCTAAAACTGTTTGAAACATTTGAGAATCCTCTGTCATTATTGTGACAACGCAAACTATGGCTACATCCACCCTCAATTCTCTGCTGACAATGATGAAACATTTCCGTATCTAATATTGATGGAAGTGATCTGTTACCATTTGATGAGTTTGAATTATTACTGAAATATCCTTTATTGTTATATTCATAGTCTCCCGAATAATCATGATTATTTCCACTATTATTAACATTATTCATGTTCTGATTATTACTAAAATCATCTTGCTGTCCAATAATTGGGAATTCTCCGTACTTTCTGTAATGCTCTTCATCGTCAATTGTATAGTGTAAGAACCTGAAATAGCAATAAAGATAAAAGACAGTAAGAAAATCATTTTTAAGTTTTCTAAAATAAAAATCAACAGTTATTTAAAATTTGAATTTCAGAACCCCACAAATGTTTCAATTATACAAACATTTGTATGGTTTTGATATTTGAATTTAAAATCACTGTTATTTTGGTAAACATTTGTATGGTTTTAAGATTTGAATTCATTTTTAACCGTTTTTTGCAAACATTTCAGAGGTTTTAGACTAAAAATTGAAGTTTTTATGCTATTGCCAATAAATTCAATAATTCAAAGAAAAAACTTACTTGCAATTTAAGCGTGATCATTTAAAACAAATGTTTCAATTATACAAACATTTGTATGGTCTTTTTCTCCCAACCTCCGAATTAGGAGGTTGTGGAATTGTGCAATACTTCAAAATTAATTAATTACGCGTAGGAATAAGTCACAAACCTTCGGGAAATGTCTTCAAAGTAACAAAGAACAAAGATACCAAGGAGAAAACTCAGCAAAGTCGCGATTTAATTAAATTTTGGATATAAATTGAAATTGAAAAAAAAAAAAAAAAATGTGCAAATTTTGAACATAACCTAGACAAAACGGAATTGATCATCATCGGAATACCAACGAACATTTAATTACATTGACAAATCACGATCGGCGGCAGTTGTGAGGAGAATCAATTGTTTCACGTGGGTTTTTTGTGTTTTACCAACAATCGTGGACAAGAAGGTTCTATCATAACCATAACCTAGACATTGAATATTATTGGAATACAACGGAATATCGTCAATTGTGAGGAGAATTTGTCTCGCGATGGGTTTTGTGTGTTTCCCCATATATCGCGGGCAATTCTATCAATCAATTGGTGCTGACTGGATTTCAACAAATCAACATTAACAAACAGGAGTCGATCATCTCGGAATACAGCAGATCATATTAATTAAATTGACAGATCACAATCGAGACATAAGAAAAAATTGAATCTATTTGGAATATCACAAGTTAAATTACAAGGACTGTCAAGGGATCTGGATCATCGACAACTGAAGATGGAATTTTTTGCTTAACGATGGTTTTTTGTTGTTTTGACCTATCGCGGGCATGTTTTCTGTCAACCATTTGGAGTTGACTGGATTTTATTGATTGTTCTTTGTGTATATTTGTAAATTAAACTACCTGGAATTGTAAACGGTCTTTAAATAGCAATAAGCTGATGGACCATAATAAAGTTAATTAAGAAGAAGAAGAAGAACATTTGTATGGTTTTGATATTTGAATTTAAAATCACTGTTATTTTGGTAAACATTTGTATGGTTTTAAGATTTGAATTCATTTTTAACCGTTTTTTGCAAACAGTTCAGAGGTTTTAGACTCTTTTCATGCTATTGCCAATAATTCAAAGAAAAAACTTACTTGCAATTTAAGCGTGGACATTTATTATTTTGAAAGTCATGACAAAACACTACTAAATCAGGAGAAGTAACATGTGGATACTGCAATACATTAATAATTAAATTAAGCTTAAAATTTAAGAACCAAAATAAAAGAACTCACCTTGCACAACAAACGACGACAAGAGCCTCTAACGAAATCACGACAAATTCTAAATTTATTCTGCTGCTCATTACAATTATTTCCTTTATATCCATTATTATACTGTCCATTACACAATACAGTCGTGGAATGGTTTGATGTGGACGAAACAGATTGAGTGGTGGTACTCGTTGTTATAGACGGTGACTCTGCGCGAGAATAAGATGAATTGCATTCCGATTGATACATATTTGCTAGCTGTTTTTGTTGTTCTGCTTCACACTTTCTTAATTTACTTTCTAGATATGCTTTGAATTTGTTGTCGTTCTCAATACACTTTTGACACTAAACCAGACGATTATTGAACCTAGAATGAGGATAAATGGTTGAAGAATGAGTTGAATGTAAGGAGAGGGAAGTTAAGCTGTAAATTTGTGAATGAATGACGAGACATAGTAAGCACAAAAGACACAAAAAAAATAGCTCATGATAAATAACGGTTATGAAAAACTGTCAATTATTTTTTGAATTTTGCTAAGGTTTTTTTGAAAATTTAACGGTTTTTCTAAGTTTCTCCATGCTGACAATCTTAAACCAGCACGCGAGCATTCAGACAGTTTATAAACAAAATCATCTTTTCAAAGACTAGCTAAAAAATAATAAGGAAGGCAAAAGATACGAAAGGAAAATGTGAAAATCATGTTAAGCCACAGGTGGGACAAAAAGGATCTGCTACAAAAATGAGTATAAATACAACGTGATTATATCCAGAATAAAGTTTTCAATTTCAGAAATTAATAGTGTTAGGAATAATGTTGTTCCAGTCATTAATATTTCTTCTGATTCTGAGAGCCTTTTGTGTCCTTGCCCAGAATGACGAAAGCTGTGAAACGATGCCATTCCAGTTGCACTTAATTAAAGGTAAATTACCATTAAATCTAGTTTAATTAAATATAAAATGATTATAATTCAGAGGAATACGACGAGCTTGGACGATTGCAACGAACATGCGACGGAGAAGTGACAGTAAACAAGTGTGAAGGATTTTGTAGCAGTCAGGTACAACCGTCGGTAATTACACCAACTGGATTCCTTAAAGAATGCTATTGTTGTCGAGAATCATTTTTAAAGGACACTCTAGTCACGTTATCTCATTGTTATGATCCGGATGGTGTTCGTTTGACATCAAATGAGATGGCAACAATGGACTTGCGCTTAAAGGAACCGACCGAATGCAAATGCTTCAAATGTGGCGACTTTTCGAGATAAAAAGAAGCGACATTTTTCTATGCTGTAAAGCTTTCATGATTTAGTGGCCAAAATGTTCATTTGATGGAAACTTTTACAAATTAATAAATTAAACAAAAATTTAAAACTGACTCATTTCTATTAATTTTACGACTGTACATTTAAACTTGCGTGTTTACTTCAGCATATCCGAGATTAGTTTATTTATAGCCGAAAACATCTTCGAGTCAATTTTCAGTACATTAATATGAATTTTAACAGGTTATTAGAACTGACATATAGCTTTTAATTAAGACATGATAGCTTTATCATCTTGATTTTGGCAAGAAAGTAGAGATTTGATAGTTCGTTGACCTGCATTACGAGATTTAAAGAAGAAGTCATGTATTAGATGCTTCTGCGTGTAGTAGAATCAGCTGGTGGTAAATGGAAGTATCATGTTATGAATGTGATGAATTAATTGTCGATGGATATAAATATCAACTTCCGGATTCGCTTTGTGCTCAAACATCAACAAGAATTCAATCTGATTTGTCAACTTTGAAGCATTACAATTATTAAGCATGGAATATAGAGCCTGTATAGTTATTAGAAAGTGCATTAATTCTTGCTGAGCATTATTTAATACGGGAAATTAGAAATTATGCAAATTCAGACTTTTAACATGATCCAGTTGGCAAAATATCAAATTTCATGAAAGGCTTCTAGAACATAGTGAATATTAGTGCTGAAACTTATTTATAATCGCTTTTCATGCAGGTTTTTAAAGATGTGAAGAAATTTTCGAGAAAGGTCAGTGAAAAACCTTCAAAAGAAAATGTTTTTGATTTAATGACTTTGTACTTACACTTTCCTGGTTCTATTAATCCTATTCTGATAAAACAAGCTATGTTTTATATTCCTAATCTGTTTAAATAATTTAATTCACAAAACTCATAAAGTTATTTAAGATTTTATCAATTTCTTATTTTTATTCTGTTGGTGAAAATTAAGGTTGGTGAAATTATTCAAATTTTTTTAAATCGTTATTACAATTTTGGTGAATTTATGTTAAATATTTATTCTGGTAATTATTAGGATTAGAGACGTACGTAGATATCAAACCATTAATTTAAGCGGTTTATGAAGCATTTAAACTAATTCTGTTGGTCCTCGATTTGAATGCTGCGGCTGTGCTACTAAATCATAGTTTTTCCCCTTATTTGATTCAAATCAATTCTATTTAAACCGAGGACACCCACAATAAATAAACAAATCGAAAATTTGAACTGTTTCTGCCGTAAATTAATTAAACTACCAAAAAACAGACATGCATATTTGTATAGAAGGCTGTGCTCATGGCGATCTGGACATGATCTATGAGGAGCTTCGAATATATGAAGAACAGACGCAGAAAAAAGTCGATCTACTTATTTGTTGTGGTAAAATTGAAGCATTTTGTTTACTGGATAATGTCAATTAACTTATTTTACTTACAGGTGACTTCCAAGCAACAAGAAATAAAGAGGATTTAGCATGTATGGCTGTTCCTAAGAAGTATTTGGAGATGGGAGGATTCTACAAGTGAGAAATTAATTAAAATATTGAAAACTGATTCTTACTGGATCTTTTTGCATTCTATAGATATTATACTGGCTTACAAGTGGCACCGATTCTCACATTATTCATTGGTGGAAATCATGAAGCATCAAATCATTTGCAAGAACTCTCATATGGTGGTTGGTGTGCTCCAAATATCTATTATTTAGGAAATGCAGGCGTCATTAACATTAATGGCTTAAAAATTGCTGGAGTTTCTGGGATCTACAGGCATTACAACTATCGTAAAGGACATTATGAATGTCCACCGTATGACGATAATACAATGCGAAGTGTTTATGCAATGCGTAATTTGGAAGTCTTTCGTCTACGTCAATTAAAGCCACTGACTATTGATATTATGGTGTCTCATGACTGGCCACAGAAAATTTGGGAACATGGAGATAGGACAAAGAGGTTTGGCAAGGTTGAAGGTTTATTAAGGAAAAAGCCTGATTTTAAAGCTGACATGGATTCTGGTAAACTTGGAAATCCACCTTGTTGGGATCTTTTGACAAAGCTTAAGCCAAAATATTGGTACTCCGCACATATGCATTGTCGATTTGAGGCAAAAGTATTTCACGAAGAAGCAGATGCAGCTACAGACTTTGTTGCTCTTGATAAATGCATATTAGGACGTCATTTTCTTGAATTTGTTGAAATTGGCGAGCCAGTTGAAAGAAATGAAGACGGAACTGCTAAATTAACTATGGAATATGACCCAGAATGGCTGACAGTACTTTCATTGACTAATAAGTTCCTCAATTGCACAACATCTGATACAAAACTCCCGTACGAACCTTCACAGAACCAGTCACGTGCCAATGAGCAGCGCTGGAAATTTTCACCAACAGAAGAGGAAGTTCAGGCTGTCCTCAAAAAGTTTAATAATGACTTGACAATTAAACACAACTTTAAGCAGACTGTGAATGGCTATGATCCAGAATGGGACGGAGGGAACTTTAATAACTTGAAGATGCCAGATCCTAGTATTAACATCCAAACAGTTGAGTTCTGTGATAAACTCGGAATTGATGATCCACTGCTGATTGTATCCAACTTAAATAACGTAAAAGTACATGTCCCTAATTACACTATATCCGATCAGGAAGCCTTCAAAGATTGTAATATTGTTTCAGACAAGCAAGCCACCGCGACGAAAAAGCCACAACTCTCATTGCCCAAGCCGATAAACAACGACGAAATTGATCTAGATGACTTGGACGATGATATTGAGGACAGTGAGGCATTAAAAAGTACAAAGTCACCTCAAGTAAAAGCTGAAATTAGGCAAGAAGAGAAGATTGAAGTACAAAGTGAATTAGAAGAACCGACAAAAGTTGAAGAAAAGGTAAATATTGAAGAACCTGCAGCTAAAAAGTTTAAGCGACGAAATCAAGATCTTTATGCAGCAACTGATGAGTAACTTAAATTTTTGACTATGAATTATCAAAGAAAATAATTATTAAGCTGTAATTAAAGATTAAGGTGTCCACAAAAGGTTTATTGTGTTTTTGTCTGTCATTAAAAGTTTTTTCAGGAATTCAAGCTTTCTTAAAAATTGTAAAAATTTCGCACATGCTTTGCAGAAGCCGTTGTTTACATTAAAAATTGAACATGAAGCTTGTCATAAATGCAAAAGATTTCAGGGAAGTTCAAAAATGATGCTTCAATTTGAATGAGTCATTTACTGACGAAAGAAGTAAACATTCAAAATTCTTGGAAACTTCAAAAAGATAAATAACAAGTTGAGTTTGACCAAATGCGGTTGTTTCCAAATCCACAAATGTCACTGACCTTGCTTACGTTGTTTTGATTCCAAACAACAAATAAACAAAGACGTCATCATTATTAAATAGAATCATGTCTTAAATTGAGCTATAGTTGCGTAATTCTTTATTATCACAAAATTGTGCATATTGCAAACCAGAAAAAAATTAAATTCTTAATATTTAAATTAACATGAAATTTGATATGTCTAGAGAAAGTTATAGCTATTTAGTAAGTCTTAACGCTTCTTTCCGAGAATCCCACCAAGCACTCTGTGGAATTAAAGATAAAAATATCATGTTTAGAATGTTGTCATTTGTAATTAGCAACAAGTCTCTATACTCTTTTATAAAAGACATAGATTTATGAAGTTTGAGCAGAAACTTTTGTTTCAAAGCTATTGCTTACTCAATGAATTAGTATGATTGTGTAAAAATGATTAGACTGAGTACTATTTGATTTTAGGTATGAATGCTTACCCTAATGGACTGTATCCTGGTTGATAATATCCTCCTTGATAACCTCCATAATTGTTTCCATAATATCCATTTCTATTGCCATATCCTGAGAAAATAAATGTTTTAATATTAAACTTCCCATGTTGTAAGTCACAGCACTAATTTACCTCCTCGACGATCAAATAAATCCTCTCCAGAAAAATCACCATGTCCATATCCACCAAAACGTTCGTTACTGAAAGACTCGTGTGAAAAGTCTGGTTCAGGTCGAGCCAATATTGCAGATATGCAAAGGCACAAAGTTAAAATCACTAAAGTTAAAGTCTTCATTTTATTCCTGAGACGTGCTTACAGCTCAAAGATTCACTAAATTCTGACACGACAAAATATCCCAGCACTCGTTTTATTTGCCTTACGCCTACAATTAAATGCTTGTTTACTTTATATTTCATGCTGTATTTTTCATATTGATATGTGATTTCTTGTTTTACTTTATTCATTCAATACATTTATGGTTGACAGGTTTTGTGCGATGCGACACTTCTAATTGGACAAACAAAGTGATTCAGACTGTTTTTTTAAAATGAAAAGTCATAAATATGTTAATTACAGGTATTTTATCGAATGTCTCGTTCTTCTTTGAATTTAATTTGATACCGGAACATGAATCATGAATGGGAATCTTAGCATTTACGTATTTACTGGTTGAAGCCGGCTTAAACTTGAATGTTGAAATCATGGAATTTGATTTTTTACTTTTTCTTCTGGTTCATTCTTCAAAAGTTGACTGATTACTTCTGTACCTCTGTACATGATCAATTGTAATTTTAATTCCTATGTACTATGGATTAAACCCTGCTTAAAGTTTTTAAAAATCTTCTGCAGATGCTACATCTAAAGAATCTTTAGAATCAGATGATGCATCATCAGGTATGTGATTAAGATCATCTAATTGTGTATGAATTTCGGTCATCGATTGATGCTATTGGAGTTATTCGTGCAAATCCACAACTTAAGTCCTTAAAGTTGCGAGCTCCAATCAAATATTATCCAAAGTATGAATTTGTAATGAAAGGATTGAAACTCGAAGAACTTTATTCCTAATATTTTGTTTACCATTCCCAAATTTGTTTAACTGAAGTTTCGTCCTAATAGATATATGATCCGCAAATGTAAACATCAATAAATCATCACCAAGGTACTTCCCAAATACATTCTTATTCATAACAACTTCCAGTGACATGACGTTGTAGAATATATTAGCACATGCAGTGAGTAAAATCTCACTCATTTCCATTATACGAGATAATCTCTTAAATCGAGAGTATAAGGTTTGATCCTCTCCTGTTTAAGTCAGTATAGATTATGAGATGAAACCGTAAGTACGCATTCACTGGTTGTCATTTTAAATTGATCAAAATTTTGTTTTGATTCCGCAGAATTTGGTTTATTATCGCATTATGCCTAGATGAGTCGATTGCTAAAATTGTTCTAATTTGTCATTTGAAGCATTCAGACGTTGGACATGGACATTTTGAAACTTGTGAAACTAGTAAACCAGCAATTGACACATCAACTGATAAAATCATAGATACAGCTATTGGATGGTCAAAATCTAGAACAACGAATGATGTGCAGCAATACTATACTGAATATGTAAACTGTGTCCATTTCCCGTTCGACCTAAACACAGTTTTTCCTAATTTAGAAGTGATAAGACTTTGGAAATCGAATGTCAAGTTTGTGGATAATATGGATCTGAGGAACTTAGTCAATCTTAAAATATTTGATTTAGAAGACAATAACATTGAAGTGCTGCAAAGTGATTTATTTATTAATAATATTAAGCTTAAGGAAATTTACTTGCAGAAAAATAAGCTCAAGTTCATTGCTGCTCGTGTCTTTAATGTTATAAACCTTATTGCCTTGAATCTTGAAGAGAATCTTTGTGTCAATGGAAAGGCTTATAATGACATTAGTGCCATGCTGACATTGAAGTTGAAAGTTGATGAAATTTGCTCGGCACCTGAATTTTTATTGACGAAAAATGAGCAGTTGATTAAAACTATTGTGGACTTGAATTATACATTGACAGAGGAATCAAAGAAGAGAGGAAGCTTAGACATTGAGTATTCGAAGGCAAAAAGCTCACTAACAACATGCGAGGATGAAAGATCAACCATCCAAAATGACAAATTTAGAATGAATTCACAAATAAAGAAAGATGCAAATTCCATCAAGAAACTTAATGATGAATTAAAGTCTGTAAAGGAATTGAACAATGATCTAACTTCCGAGAATGTCAAATTAACAAATCAAGTCAAAAAGCTAAGCCTAAAGCTCAAAGATTCTGAAGAAAAAGTTTATGACTTGATCACCAATAATCGTGCCTGTACATCGGAATCAAGTGATTCCTTAAAGGAAAGAACACTGAAATATGAAAATGAGAAACTATCAAAAGAAATTCAGGAACTCAAATCATTCAAGAATGACTTAGAACTTGAATGGAGAATAGTTAGTCTGGAATGTCAATTTGTCATTTGGAACAATGTCTATACATGCCAAACTGACAAGCTCAAAGTCAAAATAGATGATGCTGAAGTTGTTGTAGTCGGGAAGCATGTAAAAGGAAAGAAAAGTAGCCAGGTTAAAAAGCTAGTCATTAATTCAGAAGATGTCAAAATGATTTTCCTTCCAATAAACTTAGGAACAGTCTTTGAAAAGGTCCAGTCAATCATCATTCAGAATTCGAACTTAATTTCCATTAAAATTGAAAATTTTGATAACATGAAAGAATTGAAGGAAATTCTGTTGGATTACAATGATATTGAGGAGATTCCGTTTGACACATTTACATATCCAGTCAATTTGGAAAGATTGTCACTAGGACACAATAAAATCAAGTATCTCAATAAGGATTTATTCAAGGAACTGAAGAAACTTAAGTATCTCTTCGCGAATGACAATAAAATCCAAAAGATCAACGCTGAATTACTAAAATTCAACAACAAACTGGAACTAGTTAATCTACAGAACAACAACATCAAGCATATTGGACTCAATGCTTTCAAAACCTTAAATAAACTAATATTGATCAATCTAGAAAACAATAAATGTATAAGTGTGAAGTATAACCTCGAGCAATTGAATAAGGAAACGAACACGATCATCTCAAAATGCTCATCTCCAGAAACACAGGACATTGATTGCCAATACGAAAATTTTGATTCCGTATATACATGCAGCATAATTGATATTAGAATTGAAAGTGACAATATTTTAATTTCAAACATCGAAGGAAATCATTTGGTAACAAATGGAAATGACAATGTCAAGCTGATAAAGGCTTACAATCAGGATTTGAAGTTTTTTCCAACTGGATTCTCCAACTTTTATAAAAATGTTGAAAAAATTGATGTGAAAAATTCTCAGCTGGTCGGAATTGGTGAAAATGAATTTATTGGACTGATAAAAGTCAAGGAACTGATCCTATCTAGCAATAACATAAACAACCTTCATGAAAACAGCTTTAAAGACCTTAAAAATTTGGAGATTCTGAATTTATCAAATAATCAAATTACCAAACTTCCGAACAAAGTTTTTGAACAACTTACAAGTCTAAAAACTTTGGATATATCCACAAATAAAATTCAGAAGCTTCCGACCAATTTACTAGCGAAAAACATAAACCTAGAGATATTGAATGCAAGTGGAAACAAGCTTTCTCAAATTCATTCAGCACTGCTCAACAGAAAAGTTAAATTGAAGGAAGCAAATTTCAATTCTAATTCATGTATAAATGCTCGAATGCCTCATATATCCTTAGATTCATTGATATTATTATTTGTAGAAAATTGTAGTCAGATTGACCAATAAATAGAGTAGATCTGAGTGGATGAATCTTTTTACAACTAGCATAATTATTTTTTTTTTGTATGGAATCTGTTTCAAACTCTGATTCGATTCCAAATCACAAATAAACTTAATTACATGCATTATCTTATTATAAAAGGTTTTCTCAAGAAATTTTAGCATAGTGCCGAATTGATTGATGTGAATTCTATAGTTAACGTAAAAATTTGAGCTACTGAATATGTTTTGCCTAAAGTAACTTAATGCTTCATGTTATTAAGATGCCATCAAAAGTCATCATTTTTGGTGTCGCTCGGTTTTTTTCCTTATGTTTAGATAGTCGAAATAAATGGAAAAGATAAGCGTCTGATAACGAATCGTGCTAATTTTGGCTCTCGTGGTTCAGTCAATATCTTGCTTTAAAGCAGAAAGTTTCTATTAAGAAAAAATGAAAATTCCAACAGTTGATGGATGCTGTTGTTTTGGATTGGAAACAGCAGGAAAAATTCTTGGATGGTATAATAATATTGATTTAATTTATTTTGTTTCCAACAATATCTTATTGTTTACAGGCTAGGAATTATATTCGGGTCGATTACCATAATTTCTATATTGATTGGAATCGGATTTTTGGCTACACTGTCATGCGATGATCTTGAGGAAAGCGATGAGTTTAAAAAGGTTACTGAAGATTATTCCTTGCCGGATTGTGCAGCTCTTAAAACTGGTGAGAACGTTTTTATGAATTATTTTACGATTTGATTCCAATTTTGTTTCATTTTCAGCTATAATAGTAGCACTTGTAATCTTTCTGATCATTTGTCTCATTTCTACATTCATCGATGTTCTTCTAATTAGAGGAATACAGACTGTAAGTAATTCATGCTAGATGTGAATTTATTTAATTTATCAAGTTCAATTTTCTTAAACATTTAGCGAAATCCTGGAAAATTGATCCCATCAGTCGTATTTCAAGCAATCGGAACAGTGTCATCAATTATTCGAGAACTTTTAGCATTTTCAATGACTGGTGTTCTAAGAGCAGTAGTTATAGGAGGTTTTATGTTCTACATATTTCTTGTTCTTTATTCCTTATATGTCAGAATAAGAAATGAACAACGAACAATTCGTAATGTAAGATTTTCGAATTTGAAGTGCTGAAGATCAACCAAAAGCTTATTGTTTGCTTCTCTTTAAGAAGTTAAAATTGGTATATGTAAGTCGTAGAGCTTACTAAAATTTATCCATCCACAAATATGTACTTTATAAATATCTCAATTTTATGTTCCTTTAGCTATTTTTTATTTCATATAACCCATAATAAATATTATTTCATGAATGAATCATGTTTGTTTATAAACGGCAATAGATAACGAAGTGATAACACCACCAATGTAAATAAATTGATTTCTTGTATAAGGGTAATTCCATGCTATAATTTTGCTATAAAATTTTCTTTAAATTGATTTTTTTCATCCTTAGGCTTTACAAAAGTTAATAAGATTTCCACAGGACATGTTAAAAGCCATAAGGTATGTTATTTGACATTAAAATGTCATCTAAAGTGATTATTAAGTCCAAAAAATTATATTTTATAGCGTTACTTGGTAACATTTATAGCGTTACCAAGTAACGCTCATGGAATCAATTTTTTGGACGAATTAACCACTTTAGATAGAAAATTAATGTCAAATCATATACCATATGACTTTTTACATGCACTGTGAAAATCTTATTAACTTTTGTAAAGCCTAAATATGAAAAAAATCAATTTTAAGTAAATTTTTTACAAAAATTTCTCATGGAATTACCCATAACTAGAGTGGGGTCGGAGCAACAAATTATGAGAAAAAACTTTGATCGATTTTTAAGTGCTCCACATGAAAATAGAAACTTAAATTTTTACAAGCAACTTAAGAAAATCGATCAGAGTAAATTGATCTTAATTCTGATTATAACTTGAATTGCAGAAAATGATTCTTTAAAAAAACTAACTCGAAGCATGGCTGTTGATTTGCAGATTATCTTATTAATTCATTAGCTAAGACATTCAATTCATTATGTGGATTAATTACAACCCTTGTTTTATTGACTTTTAAAGAAACCAATTTTTGAAATTTGAAGTAAATCCTCTTCCAAAATATGAATCCAATAAGTCAAAGACGATCAGGTATAACATTAAAGTTTCGAAAATATTCAAATAATGAGAAATTGTCACAAAAACAAAACAAATCATTAGAAACAGAAAGTTTTAAAGATCAAACAAATAAAATAACTTAAAACTTGTCGCCAAATATTCAGTTCTACATTGTCATCTAGTCAACATCTTAAGCATTATTAAGCATTTATTGTTATCTCGAAGTTCTCCAAAATGAAGATACCAACAGTCGAAAGATTTTTCTGCTTGAATTTAGAAGCATCAGCAAAACTAATTGGATGGTAAGTTTTAGCCAAAATTTAAAAATTAAAGATTTTAAAAATTATGCTTTGAAAAAAATCAGGAGTGGAATCATAACTGGATCAATTGGTGCTATTTTGGCAATAGCTGCAACGATATTTGTCTGCACATTCTCATGTGAAGATCTCATTCGATACGAAAGTTTCAGGACATGGCTCGAACAATTTTCAGTTCCTGATTGTTCTGATTTGAAGTTTGGTAAGTTTTAAATTTTCTTTTCTGTTTTCTTATTAATATAATTAATGAAATTTGGTTCTATTTCTCCTAGTCCTTGTGTCATCTGCAGTATTTTGTTTGATTTCAATCACCATTAATGGAACTTTACTCAGAGGAATTCAGACGGTAAGCGAAAAAGTTTTACCTTAATAAATTCTCATAAATTTTAATTATTTTTTCTTTTTCAGCTAAATCATGTGAAAATCCTTCCTGCTATTTATCTATTTGGATTTGAAATTTTATCTTTAATTACTTTGCAGTTTGGATCATATACAGCCTTAGAAATCTTTGGCACATTAATACTTGCATTTATTATGATTTATCTTTTAATTGCACTTTTTTCTTTGTATGTTAAAGTAAGATATGAATATCAAGGAAGAGTTATTCTTAGTCAATTTGATGAAATAAATTGAATCAATTAAAAAATTGTCTCAAAAAAGTACAATGGCTGCATGCATGAGAAAATTTCCTTGAATTGTTATCAATTATTTCTCTCATTTTAGTTTTAAGCAGAGATCGAAGCCGATTTTTTCGGCTTAACTCAATTTTTGATTTTTTTGATAGAAAAAAAGACATTTAACACCCATTTTAAGTATTTAAATTGAACTTTACATGCTTTACTATGATTTTGTGAAATATTTTTTCAGCATGTAGCTATAGTGAGCTCAGAATTTCAAGTTAAAGAATGTTAAGCCGAAATTTAAGCCGATCGGCTTAAAATCGGCTAAATTGAAATTCAGAGCTTACTATAGCTACATGCTGAAAAAATATTTCACAGAATCATAGTAAAGCATGTAAAGTTCAATTTAAATACTTAAAATGGGTGTAAAATGGCTTTTTTCTATCAAAATAATCAAAAATTGAGTTAAGCCGAAAAAATCGGCTTCGATCTCTGGTTTTAAGGGTTTGTTCAAATTTATGTCACAATGTTCATGGGGAGGGGATGGTTGATTATCAAAACTTAAAAATATTAGATGATTGATAGTTTCTATTTGATGATGATCAGTCATGTTTAGATATCATAAATGAACGACCCCATTTTGCTATTTTTAACTTGATATCTGGGGTCGAGAATAAGAATTATGAGCGAGAACCTATCATATTTGTTCACGTAAACACTGTCAAATGCAATATTAAAATTCTTTAATTTAGACTAGTTTCAGAATGAAATTGAATAAAAGTGGTTTTCTTCTTAGAGATTGTTATATAATAATGTCTGTAGATCTCCCTATAACTCTCATATGTGTATACTAATGTAAAATAAACTGGGTTTGATATGAATCGAACCCATGTCCTCAAAAGTGGCGATCTCTGAACACTCGATCAGAGATACTAATGTAGAGAGCAGTATGCTTAGGCGTATCTACTACAGATATGCACTTCGAGCCATATCTACAATATTACCCACAAATATTCAAAAAAATCATGTTTTTCTCGACAACACAAAGTTACGCAAATCTCAAGCTGATTCAAGTAGATTTTTGATATTTAAAATTCGAATTACAGAAGACTTAAATGAATTAAATTCAACTTTAGTCGAAAAAACATTTAGAATTCAACCCAAAACTGTGAATCCTGTCTCATATGTTAATAACTTTTTGCAGGACTTTTATGTTAGAATATTAACTTTTCAGCACATTATTTTTCAAATTAAGTTGAAACGTCCCAAATTTCAAAAATTTCCTCAATTTTTTTCAGAGATCCAAATTCAAAGATTGAAAATCTCATAACAAAAAAGAGAGTAAAATTTTTAAGAGAGAAACATATGATTGAAAATAAACAAAAGCAGTGCATTGCAGTTTTTCCTCAATAACAAGTCGTCCTTAGAAGTTTTTTATAAAATTTTCTTGAAAATTCATAGAATTCAAAATCATTTAGAAGTAAATTTAAGTATGAAAATGACTGTTGTCAATAGATGTCTATGGCTTGAGCTAGAAACATGTGGAAAGATTCTTGGATGGTGAATTTTAAATATTTGCGTAATAATGAAATCAAATTGCAATAATTTCTATTTATAGGCTTGGAATAATTGGTGCAATATTTATGCTCCTTGTTGCAGGAGTTGCTTTAATTATTCTATCATTGATGTCATGCAAGGAACTTATTCAAATAGTTCAGGATGAAGATTTACAAGACTTATTGCCAGAAATTTCAATCACAGATTGTCAAATTTTTACAGCAGGTAATATGCTGCAATTTCATGAAGGATTTCTTTTTGTTTAATTCCAAATTCTTCTAAACATTTCAGTTATTATAGTAGCAGCAATACTCGTCATTATTTATGGCGTTGTTTCCACAATTATTAACACACTTCTCCTTATTGGAATCCAAAAGGTATAAAAGTATCAGAATATCTATGAATATCCACTTAAAATTCTTCTTTTAGCGAGATCCCGGAAAAATAATCCCTGCTGTCATCATCCAAGGTTTCGCAACTTTCACCATTATTTTTAGAGGATTGGCATCATTTTCAATTGAAGGAATTATCACTGCAGTGTCTTTTGGAATCATTGCGTATTTAATTTTTATTGTTCTGTATTCTTTATATGTCAAAATAAGGAAAGATCATACTCCTAGATATGAAAATCAAATTATTCAAATTTGTAAAGCATAAATCTTCAATTAATGTGGTTTGATAGCTTTGACAATGCATATTATCAGCTGATTCAAAAGATATTGCTCAAATAAAGAAGTTCTAACATTGTTTTAACAAAATCGTAGATGTGAAATGAAAATGTTCCTTGAAAAAGTAGAAGTTTCTTTAAAATCAGATCCTCAAAACGTCCTAAACTTGAATTTAATGTATGATGTCTAAAATGTATATTTTATCAACTTATCTGAAAATGTCTTACAAATGTCATGAAAATTAACTTAAATATATTTAAATAAAAATGTTGAAAACCCAAAGATTTCAGGCATAGAAATTGTCTAGGATTCTCAAAAAACATTGTATCCTTAACAGATAATTAAGAATTTAATTCCACATCCCACTATAGCATCTTATAAAATTATTTTCTCTTTCAATTCCATTGCGTTGTATGATTCGTGATTTTTAAATTTTGACTCAAAAGAGAGTGTGAATTTTCAAGAAAGAGAGGAACAAAAACAATCAGGCGCAAATATCTTAGATTTTTCCGAATATAAGAACACTTCTAAAAGCTTCTTTATCAAAATCAAACGTTTTTTTAAAAAACTTACAAGTAAATTAAAACCTGAATTAAGAATGAAAATTCCAATCGTTGAGAAATGTCTCTGCTTAGAACTTGAAACGGCTGGAATGGTCTTTGGATGGTAAAGTTTGTGATGTTATAAAATTATCAGTTATGCATAAAAATCTTCATTTCACAGCCTCGGAATTGTTGGTGGAATATTTATATTCATTTTTGCAGCGGTTATAATGGTGATTCTATCGGTAACGTCATGTGGTGATCTTTTGGAACTTGTAAAGGATGAAGATGTACGAAATTTATTTCCAACGATTTTAGTCACGGATTGTCAAGTTTTTAGAGCATGTAAGTTTTAAAGATAATATAAATTCTTTAGAGGAAGTACAATTGATCGAGAAAAGACTAAAATACTTGTGATTGTTGTCTGTTTTGTTCTTAGGGATTGTTTATTAATAATTGCAGTGTCTGTTTTGTATTCAAAATGATTAAATTTAATAATTATTGAATCATTTAAGTTGCAGTAATATTGACACTTTTCGTCTTGGTATACAGCATAATATCCATAATCATTAACATTTTTCTTCTCATCGGGATTCAAAAGGTAATTGAATCATCAGCATTGTCTCAATTCTTTACTAATTAGACTCTATTTTTTTCAGCGTGAACATGGAAAAGTTCTTCCAGCTGTCATAATTAAGGCTTTTGCAACTTTCACATTGATTTTCAGAGGCTTGGTATCCTTTTCTATCGATGGAATTCTCAGTGCAGCGATCTTTGGATCTTTGACGTTTTTGATATTTGTAATTTTGTATTCTTTATATGTCAAAATAAGGAACGAAAATCGTACTAGATATGAAAATCAGATTTTTTAAATTAAAGATTAAAAATTTATATCAAATGCACATTTCATAAAATAATAAGACTGTCCTGTGAAACTCCTTCCATTTGGACAGGTTTCAATTATCAAAATCGATGCTCATATTGAGGCGTGTTACTCAGGGTTTTTGGATTAGTGGATATTTTGAGAGTTTTCACGCCAAAAATAATATTTTATTAAATTTTATCTCTGACTGTTACTATACCAAATAAATATATTAAGACAATTCAAATAATTCCTGTCATGTCTTTTAAAAAAATCCTCAAATTGATGAAAAATTCTCAAAGTGCTAGGAAATTCAAGATCTTTGCCACATCATCATCATTGCGGATGCAAAGACGATTTTAATTCCGACTTACTTTTTTCAATCGTGTCCTGTGAGCAAAAAGAGCGCGAAATCTTTAAAGAGAGGAATTATATTCTCAAAACATAAACAGCTGTTCAGTATAACTTTTCATTTCATTCAAGAGAGCTTGCAAAATTTTCTCAGCACTTCCGGCAAATTTAATTCAAAAACTTAGGAATTCATGAAACTACCGATTTTTAATAAATGTTGGTGCTGTGAATTGGAGATTGAAGGAATAGTACTAGCATGGTGAGTTTATGTTCTATGCTAGATAATTTACCACTTTAGTTTATTTTTAAGGATTGGAATCATAACTGGAGGAATTATTTTAATTGCTTTAATTTGCCTGTCATCAATTTTCTTATCGGTCACATGCGACAGACTTATAAGCATGACTTATTTAAAATTCATTTCAAACTTTGTTGAGTGTGTTCCTGTCCGAATTGGTTATTCAAAAAAATTAGAGTTGACAATTTCATTGAAAATTTTCTTATATTGTAGTTGCGATTGTATTGACGGCGGTTCTATTTGTGGTTGTGTTTAATCACATTCTTATTTATTTTGTTCTTATTAAGGGAGTGCAAAATGTGAGAAAATGATTTGTTTATGTACTTGTAGCTTTAATCAATGATTAACTTTCAATTTTTTCAGCGAAATCCTGAACAAATAATTCCAGCAGTGGTCATTCAAAGTTTTGGAACCATTTTACTAATCGCTGAAGGAGTTCTATCATTTTCAGCTGGAGGACTACTCGATGCAATCATTGGAGGTGCATTATGTCTTACTTTTTCCTATGTCTCTATTCTTTATACGTTAAGATAAGGGACGAAAAGATTTAAACTCAAAAAGAACAGAATACGCTGCAGTGAAATTGTCAAAATTTGGTTTTAGATTTAAATTTATAGCTTTTAAGTTGTTCTGAAATGAAATTGACATGATATTCATCAGCTAAAGAACAAACTTAGTAATATTGTGGCCTTAAAGTTTGGGAATTTAATTTTGTCAATTTATTTGGTATTTCGGGTATTTCCAATTGTTCAGTTGCTTTGTAGATAATAAATTGCTTTTTAAAGATTTGAATGATAATTTAATAATCTACAATATGAAAACTCCGGATTCAAAATAATATTTGTAGCCAAATAATTCTTATGCGATGTTGAAAAATACTCCCTTATAACATAAAAGATTCTTGAATCAATTGTAAAATTCAATAAAATTTTATATGTTTTTTGTTTAATAATTGTTGTTTGTAATTGAATTTTTAAATTCTAGTTGAAACAATCATTTCTAAAGGATATTAGATCATATCCTTTCTGCGGGTAATTCACTGGTTATCTTCCTTTTTAAAGCGAAAAATGTAAGTCTGAAATTTCATGAAACTTTACAACAATCAACAGCTTTAAACACATTTTTCATTTCCCTTAATTGATAAACTTATACTAATATGTAGATACTATTTTAAGAACAGGTTAAAAAAAAGGTCAAACATGATACAATCAAGCTTCAAAAAAATTTCGCTACATCTTATCAGCGAATTAATTTTCGTTAATGTCCAATACGCATGGAAGTTTATTGATTTTTTTCATTGTAGAAAGAAGAACAAAAGGAAAACTGAATTCATTAATTGTCAAGGTCAAATGTCTATAAAAAATTTTATTCACACTCAAATGATATAAATTTGAGAACAAGAAAATATGAGAGAATGTCATCAAAGTTTCAAATTTAATAATGAAACGTGCAGCGCCAATTTGACTACAAAAACAATAACAGAAGGATAAAGAATAACAATGGAATGATGGAATGATTTACTGGGGGTCCTCGATTTGAGTAGATTCTATTTGAGTAGATTCGATTTGAACAGAAAATTTTTTGCCCACCAAAATATTCGATTTGAGTAGATTTCTTCCTGTTTTCTTCGATTTGAACTGTTTACAAAACAAATATTTTTGATAAAAACATTTCAGAAAATATTTTTAAAACATAAATTTTACTGCAATAAGCGTGAACTTATCATATTGATAGAAAAATCAATACTAAAGTTACAAAATTAAAGTAAAAATTTAAAAAATCGCTATAAAATTAAAAGTTCAAATTCAAAAACCTTACAAATTGTTCAGTGAATTAACATTTGCAAGGTTCTCATATTTTTGTTTTGTTTCAAAAACATATTTTTTGTGAATTTCTGTGTAAAAACAATATGAATATGCCTTGAAATAAATTAAGTTATCTAAAACACATAGGAAAAGTTAAGCAACGAGGTAAAATGTGCAAAAAATGATCAAAAATTTCATTGTTTTGATATATTTTTTGGACTCTGGAACAAAACATGTAATTTTGTATTGATTCTTTGCCTCGATTTGAATAGATTCGATTTGAGTAGAAATTTTTTGGAACAAAACAACTACTCAAATCGAGGACCCCCAGTATTAGGAAACTTGTTGCTGTTTTATAATCATTTGTGAATAATGTTTGATGTTGAGGTATGATATATGTGGTTCTTCAGATGGTTAGTATAACAATGTAGCAATTATATAGTCAATGTCCCAGAACTTAGTTGTAAACTGTTGTATGTAAGATATAAAGAGTTAAGGTCAGGGTTAAGGTGTAAATTAATAATTAAAGCAGGGCACCTGTGCATAGGTGAAAACCGAACAATTTCTTGACAAAATCATACAAACTCTTATAAAACCTCACAAATTATCAAGGAATTGTACGGTTCTCGCCTGTGCTCAGGTCAATGCACAGGTCAATGTAATGCAACCCTTAATTAAAGCCACTTTAATTTTAAAAAAATTCCAAGCTATTCTAGGAACTGAATTTGAATATAATTTTATAAAATGAATCCATTTGTTGACATTTGCGATGATTCAAATTAACAATACAATTAAGTGGATAATTAATGAATTGAACATTTCGTGTCAATTGATTCAAAGCTTCTTATTCTTCTCATTAGTTGAATATATTTTTGTCGTATCAAATGACACTTTTCATCATGTTGTCTGTAATGAAAGGGAAAATGAAATAAAGAATGATTCAGTTTGTCGACAAAAGTCTCAAGGATATTGTAATAAAACTTGAGAACCAAAAGCTTTTCTAATGCAAGAGAGTAAAGTCGGAAAAATGTAATTGGGAAAGAGTAAGGAACTTGGCTAAGATACAATAACTTTACGGAAAACGCCTACTAGCCTTCCATCATTTTCTATCATTTTAATCAGTTCCACACCCTTGTATGTCACAGTATTAATTGAAACCATACATATTTAAATAGATTGATGCTAAGACATTTGTAAATATAAATAAACTACTAAGATAGTCAATGCAAATAAATAATTAGGTAGAAAAATTCAATTATTAAGACTTTAGATATGAAAATAAGTTTTATCATTCATATGAAGGAAAGTCAGAGATTCGTCTTGATCCGAATAACATCTTCGTTACTGCTTCGCAATTTAAGTAATGTGCGTTCATAATACACACATCATGTCGTATTTCGATGAATATTTTTCGTGCTGCTAGTGAAAAAAATGTCAGTAGTAGAATCCCGAAGTTCGACAGTTGAATTTAACATTTCCTACATAGCAGAACGTTTGATTAAAAATTCCGGTTACCAAAATATTTATTTAATCTTACTCAGCTTGAAGTGAAGAAAATAAATCAGATTAAAAATGAAAATTCCTATGGTTGAAAGATGCTGCTGCTTTGAGTTAGAAACAGGAGGAAAAATTCTAGGATGGTAAATTTAGGTGAAAATGGATGTTCGCAAATGATGTCTATCTAAAATCTAATCAGCTTGTTATAAAGATGCAATTTTGATCTATTAATGCTATGTTTAAGTTACGCACTTACAATAACATTGCAGCACAGCTATAGATCCATTTTTTTCAACCTAAAATATGGGCATCATAAGTGAACGATCCTTAAGTGAATCTTCGCAATTTTAAACATTCCAAATTTAATTATCTTTAGGCTTGGCATAATTTTTGGAGGAATAGCTGGTCTTTTAATGTTGGGTGGACTTGTGATGGTATTTTCACTTTCATGTGACGATATTATGACAGATCCTAATTTTCAGGATGTCACTCAAAATTTCTCCAGAGATAACTGCACTGTCATGAAAGCCGGTAATATTTTGAAATTGAATTCTGTGAATGTTAAATTTGCCAACTTGAAACTTTAATATTTTCAGTTGTTGTGGTGATTTTGGTGATAGTGTTAGCTGTTACATTGGTTTCCGTAATCATTGATGTTCTTCTCATCCAAGGAATATCATCGGTAAGTAGCTTTACACAAATTACCGAGTTCTTAACAATTAAGTTTTCCATCCACAGCGTAATCCTGGAAAAATAATTCCTGCAGTCGTTATCCAAGCAATTGGATTTGTTTCAACAGTCGCGAAAGGACTATTTGCTTTTTCTGGAGAAGGAATTGTTAGTGCAATAATTGGTGGTGCCATTATGTTCTATTTCTTCCTCGTCTTGTACTCGTTATATGTCAAAATAAGAGACGAAAAGAAGGCAGTTCAAAATACTCAATTTTCACAGCCATAAATTATTTTATGAAACTCATTAGCTGTTTTTTACTTGTTAAAATATTTCATGTGCTTGATAACATTAAAATTTAAATCATTTCGCTTGACAACGTTAAACTGAATTATGCGAGCTGAAATCAAATTTCATGAAGATTTTGCACATTTGTTCTCATTTTCATCCAAATATTATTTTTTAATTCGATTAAGTCTTAAAGATTTCTTAAAGCACTTCATAATATTCATATGATGCCTTAAATGTATACAAATATGTCATTGCTTGTATTACAATAAAATGCTCTTTATAAAACATAAATTAAATGAACAACAATAATTTCTAACATATTCCTAAGAATCATACTGTGCAGTTTACATACATATTTACACTCAATTCATTGAAGATTCATTTCATCACCTTATTAAGTATGAAATGTGGATTGGAGTTGAAAATATAATCGAACAAAACGTTAAAAGATTTGATGAACATTAAAAATGGGATTGGTCGGAAGGAGGTGAAGCTTCTCGTCGCCTTTCCTTCATTGTATCGATTATTTTTGACGCTGCCTAACATTCCCTTAAAAGACACATGTAAAATATGCGTGAAATGGAAAAATTTTCTGTAATTAAAGCATAAGCAGTGCCATATGGGTCGTTCAGATGTTCAGTAATGTTGAATCTCGTAGGTATTAGCATGGTTGTGAAGGGTTTAAAAATGATGCATTCCAATTTATTTGGATATCCCCAAAAGAAGTAGCAAATCTTTATTCATGTGACAAATAATCAAAGTAGATACTTCCTACTTTCCTTTATATTCCACTATCATAAAAACTAATTGATTTTTACAAAAAGATTTTCAAGGACAAGAAATCAGCAAGTGTGATTTTTTAGCAAAATTGTTCTCTTTTATATATAATGTGTGAAGGGCCCAGCCTTTCAGCTGGAGGCACTGCGATTCAAATTAGAACAGAATCTATTGTACCACACCCTTTAGACCTACAGTTTATAGTGGGATCCGAACCACTTTCAAGCTCTGCACATTGCAAAGACACGAGTACGTCATAAGACCTGATGTACCCTGCAATGTACCTAGTCACAATTCGTGTGCGCAAGATGCCGTTAGGAAGTCATCCAGATGCTAGTATATCCTTGTATACCTAGCAAAGGAGGCATATTCTGTGCCAAAGACCTCAAAACTACACCCAACACACAAACCGAGCTTCGTAACTAGAACGGTGAAATGGAAAAAGAGCTTCGAAAATTAGACATGGCCTGGGATTGAACCCAGGACCTTTGGCACAGAAAGCCAACGCTCTACCATTTAGGCTACTGATGCCATTTCACCGCTTTTCTTTTAAAAGAAATATAAATAGAATTTCTCAAAAACGTGATCGACGCTGTTCTGAATATGGATGAATATTCAAAAGAACTTGTTGCTACTGTTGTTATATCCATTCAGTATTTCTCCAAATATTTATTACCCATATAACCAGATGTTTATTAATGAACATTCAAAAAATATTTAAATTGATATCAATAGAAACTTCACGTAAGCATATTCATGACATTTGACTTGTAACAAAACCAACAGCTAAAGCTAATACATTTGAGAAAAGTTTCCAAAATTCTGAACATATCTTATGGATTCTGATTCTTCTTAAGAATCATGAATTTGATAAAAAGCTAAGGTTGTTTTCTAAACCTATTCTATGATTCCAAAAATATAGATTTTAATCTGTATTTTCTTAGATAAAACATATCTAAGAATAAAAAATTTTCGAAAATTTACCACTTGATTCTCAAAAAATAATTTCATTGACCTGATTCGACTTCACTTTCTGTCTTATTTATGATCAATAAACATTTTTTTATTAGAAAGAAAATTTCAATCTTCGCCGCATTTTAAATTCCTATTGAAATGTATCTCTGACACAGTCGAACCTTTTGGGAATCGTAGAAATGTTTTAATTGCCGACTGAGTTTCAAGGTCGTTCTAAGATAGAACATTATTTAACTGAATGCACTCACATTGATAAATTATTTCTTCCAAAAAATATCATGTGCATGGAATAGAATCGATTATAAGGCTACATGATCTTCGTTTATTGCAGTGTTGTCCAACCATTTTTCTGAACCACGGCACACCTTAAGGGTAATCCATTACCAAAGTAGCACACAGCATACGGCTCGCGTCATTTCCAAAAAAAAATGGAACACCAGTGTGCCGCGACACACAGTTTGGACAACACTGGTTTATTCTTAACGCGAAAGAAAATTTTGTATTTTTTTTTTCTCTCACAAACTTTTCAACTGATCAAGTTTGAAGCCACATGTGTTTTTTGTAATTATTCAATGTTTTGGACTTAAATGAAAAAGTTTACATTAACCGAATTAAAATAATCTTCCAGCAATAAATGGAATTGCTTCATTTAATAAAATGATCAGTGAAGGTCGAGAAAATGAAAATTAGTAAGGATTACACTATAAAATGGACATGCAAGCAAATAAGATTATTAATTCATTAATTATTGCAATTGCACAATTACATTCTATATCCACGCCTACACCACATTTCCATTTACTGCTGTACGTAATGCATAAAAAGAAAACATTCAACAAATTTTCACATGTACAGACTCACGCATTTAATAACAAAAACAGACGATGATTCACGGGCAGGAGAGCGTAAATTGAAATGAGAACCAAGAGAATATGAGAACTTTTTGTGTAGATGAAAGTAAAAATTTTGAAAATGTTCAACAGTCTGATGCTACATTTCCTACATGTTAAGCTATCTTCGTCGTTTCAGCATTTATAAAATATTTAAATTTTAACGCGTAGAATAAAACATTCGAAAAAATGTGGACCGTTGACAAGTTTTTAATATTTGAGCTAGAAACTGGTGGACAATTTTGGGGATGGTAAGCTTTTTTGTGACTTAATTTGCAATTATAATAATTTAATTACGTTTTTGCAGGCTTGGAATCATCATTAATACAATAAGTGTAGTTTTATTATTCTTGACAATCCTATTTTTGAACTCAATCACCTGTGATGATGTTTTGACATTTTTGAAGGAACTAAATGCTAATGATGGATTGTCATATGAGCAATGTCAAGCATTGCATGTTGGTAAGTTGGAATTAAAGTTCTTGTTGACAACCCATAGAAATTCAGGATGATTTAGATCCAACACTATCTCATCTTATTACAAGTTTTGGCTGATTCAAAATGTAAAACTTAGTACAACCTAGACTCATAGCTTAAATCACCTCTGTCCATCCCTAATTCATCTGAAAAAAATATTTAAATTTTAAAATTCTCTCAAAATTTGTATTTGTATTTAGGCATCAAGGGATTCATAATAATCTCCATACTTTTGCTAATGGTTGGCTTGATACTTCTGACTCTTCTGGTTCTAGGAATTAAAAACGTAAGTCATTCTTAACTAATCAAGTTCATTGCCAAAATAATTATTAATCTCAAAATTTCAGAGAAATCATTGCCAGATACTTCCCGCTGCCATTGCTCAAGGAATTGATGCTGTAATAATCCTCATTTTTGCACCATTTTCAGGATCATTTAGATCTTTTCTATTTTTAACTTTTGTCGGCGTCATTTGGTTCTATATGTTCGTAGTTTTGATTTCATTGTATAAGAAGATTAAGGATGAGAAAAGAGGAGCTTACAATGCACAGTATGTGCATCCTTAAAGGAATTTGATGAGTCTGATATTTAACAAAATGTTTATAAACTATACCTAAGAATAAAATGTATTATTAATCAAGAGCGAGTGACTTTTGAAACTTAACAAATGTCGACTACTTTTAATTTGAAATCTTTGGAATTTGAGCTATTGAATAATCTGGATCAGATTCCTAAAGTGAATATCTTGAAGATTTTTGGCGCCAAAACAATTTTATTAAAGATTATTAGTTGCAAAACTACTTTAAGACTGTAATTTTTATGTAATGTATGATTAAAAAGTAAAAAACCTGGAAATTCAACTTTTTATAGATGTAAATTAAATGATCTTTAATAGAATGACACAGCAATATGAATTTCATCCAATTTCCTATCAATTTTCAAGAATAATTTCCTTTACATGTCGATCGATAAATTGAAATAGAAATATGTGGAATTACTATTATTGAAAATGTCCTTGAATAAGACGTACAATATCCATTACTTATACTCTCTTCATCTAATCCTCTCACATTTTTCCTTGTGCTCTCATTTCTCTCAGATTTTCATGGATAATATTTACAGAATATCGACTTACTTTTCAAACCACTTGAAAGATTGAAGATCAAATTTCAAACTTAATTAAACAAGACATAACAGCTGTTTTGTTTCCAATCAATTGACTATTAAGCCGGCAATGTTTATAATCAAATTTTGTGACATCTCCTTAATGTTTGTAAACAATAAAAAGATTTGTTATGAAAATGAGCAGATACACGGAATTGCTCTCTGTAATTGATATTTTTTTTGGCTGATTCGCGAATCACACGAAGCTTAATAGTCATCATCTTATTATGTTTTTAAACTCAAATAGAATAAAAATTGTCTGTAAAATTAAATGAAGATGACTATACGTGTGCCGGCAGTTATTGTTTTACAACTGATAGGATACACTTGTTAAAAATCATTTGTTGAAAACTTCAATTTTTGGCATCAACCAAACTTTGATTTAATTTTGTTTCGATTATTTCAACTTTACTGTTAAATATTAAGTTTATTGCTGTTCATTTATAAACTGTCTAAGATGCTTGACAAAAAGTGGACAGCCAATGAATTTTTGTGTTTTAAGCTTGATTCTGGAGGAAGATTTATTAGCTGGTGAGTGTTGAAAGTGTTGTTTGATGTCTAAAAGCATAATGGACTGTAATGTTTATTATTCTGTGTATTAGAGAATTGAAACGATGATCTCCAAGGCAAAGATTTAAAATTTCATTAAAAACCTAATGTTTTAAACTCTTACAAATCAAGTCCTTGAAAACTTTCTTAAAATCACGAATTTCCAATTCTATTTCAAGAAAGAAAAAAGTTGCGCGTGGTGAGATTCAGCACAATGAGACAAATTAAAATTTCTCTTACAAATCTTACTGAATTTATGTTTTAAAATTAGAAATTCCTGATTGATTCTAGATTCCTAAAAAAGCTTAATTGACACTTTCTTACCTTTTCAGGGTTTATTTCACATTCTTCTGCTTATTTCTGGTGCTATCAGTTTTTGCAATAGTATTTGTTTATGTGGATTGCTACGCGTTTCAGCCATTCTATGAAAAATACTTTGAATCATTCGAGTCATGCAGTTTAATCAAATTAAGTAAGTTTGTTTCCTCAGTTATTAATTTATCTATTTAGCTATTAAGATTCATGCTGATCAAAATTCTAATGATTTTTCTTCTCATGCACAGCAACAACAGTGCTTGCAGTTGGTCTAATTATTGTATCCCTATTAACATGTGTGGTTTTTAAGAAGCTCATCAATGGAATCAATGAAGTAAGAAGCATAGACATTCATTTAATCTTTTAAATTATTTATAGGGTTACCATCTAATTTTCATGAAAATACAGGACTTTTGGTAAATTTTTTCGAAAAATACAGGACATAGAGTAAAATTCGAAAATTAACGGAAATTTTCGTGAAAAAAATACAGGACCTGGAACAAAGTTTTCAAATTTATACAGGACAGGGTTTTGAAATACAGGACTGTCCGTTGTAAAACTACGCAGATGGTCACCCTAATTATTTATTAAAATTAATTTCACAGCGAGACCACACAAAGATGAAAGCAGGGGTCATGTTCTGTGCCATTATCAACACGTTGCTGATTATTATAGAACTTTATGGAATGTTTGTAACTTTCTCACTTCTCGACATTATTGACATTGCACTGACCATCACTATATGTGTTTATTTCTTTGTGTGTCTTCGTTCATTGTGCGAGAAAATTCAACGTGAAAATGAACTGACAGAAAAAGAAGCAGATCCAATGAAAACATTGGCGTAAATTTTTGTAAACAATTGTTTATTTTGTGAATAAATTTATTTTCTATTTAAAATGTTTTGTTTTTTGGATCACCTTTTATTCGTCGTAGACTAATATAATGTATAATAAGAATAACATGCTTCTGTCTGAATCATAACTTATCAAATATGATTTGATTGAATTGAAGCAATTAACTACAGGCTTGTGGCTTGTTCAACCCCTCTCCATGCCCTTGGAACAGCTTCAACATGTGCTGCTGTTTATAAATTTTTTATTAATGTAGCAATATTTTCTTAAAAAATTAAGAAGAATCTAACGAGATGTGAAAATAAAACATGTGTGCCTCGAATATTTTTGGGACTTGATGAGAAAAACATTCAATTTTCTAAGCATTCACGCAATATTTTCAGTAAATAATTTAGGTCACATTTTATGACGGCGCTTTTGACAGCATGTGTGGCCACTATAAATTAATAAGATTTTTTGAATCGGATGTCATTTAAAAGATTTCGAGATTTAACACAAAAATGATCTTACTTAGAGCTTCAAACTTTTTCCAATATTAATTTTTAAATTCAATTACTTAAATTTACTTATCAAGCATGATCGTTTCTTAGTATATGTAGCTCATTGCCATGACAAAATGCAGATCATGTGGACCATCTTCTTCTTTTCAAAAAATCATTCAAAATATTCGAAAAAAACATTGACTTTTTTTCTTCTAAAAATATATTAGTTGCGTTTAATTTTCTTAACAAGCTTAATCATCTTTTTCGGGTTCCTCAAAAAATGTTCAAAGTCAACAAATTCTTTTGCTATGAATTGGATAAAGGAGGTAGAATTATTGGATGGTAAGAATCATTGATGACTTCAAGTGTGTGGAACTGATCATAATGATTCGAAATGTTCAAAATTCGATTTATCTTGCATGCCTGAATGATTTTTGAGGATGACAATTAATTTAATAGACATTTTTTTGACAGGATTGGAAAGATTTTCAGCATAATTCCAATTGTGTTCTCAATAATCTTGTTCCTTATTGGCTTGTTCATGTCATGTGATAATGTTCAAAAGATTATTGAAAGACTTCCAGAAGAAAACGATTTGAATTGCTTTACTGCAAAAATTGGTAAATTTTGAAATTTTTTGAAAATATCGAATTGTTAATGCTTTTATTTTTTAAAGGTTTTGGAGTCTTCTTGATTATTGTTATTGCTGTGTACGCAGTTTTTTATTACATCTATAATCTCCTCATTAGAGGCATCAATAATGTAAGTCAAATAATGTTTAACTAGGACTGGTTTTTAACAAATATTTTTATATTCCTAGCGTAACCACAGCCAAGTTTGTCCAGCACTTATTTGTGAAGTTCTTTCAGTTGTTTTTTGCATACTAGGAGTGATATTTTCAAAAGCAATTGGATGGATCATTTACTACGTCATTGGAAGCATTTTTTCGTTGTATGTTACAATTGTCCTTTACTCAATTTATGCAAATATTAAGAGCGGGAAAAGCAATCCACAAGTTGCACAATATTCAGGGCCATAGAATAATGTTTTGATTAGCTTTAATATAAAAAAATTATTTAAAAGTTTTATTATTGATCAATTTTGAGAGAAGCCTAATCCTACCACAGGATCAATGCTCAGCCTAGTAAATGTAAGTGAAAGTGTTCCTAAAATCAAAAAAAATATCCTCATAAATTTTATTTAAAATAAAAATTACGAATCTTTATACGCATCAATAAAGTACGTCATTAAGTCAAACTTTCGGATTACAGCGTATTTTGAATCGTTCAAATTGAATGTTAAAATCCCTTCTGTTCTCAAGAAAAAATGACAGTTTATTGTGAGTATTTTTAGATTTGTTTCTGAATTTCCCGAATCTTTTTCTTTTATTTAACTGAATGAAACATAACAGAACGATTAGAAAAGAGTGGAACCGACGAAAAAAGAAAATTAATCATTTTGAATTAATTATATGAAATATCAAGGTCAGAATCTATGAAGCACATGCTTTCGTAGAAGAATCCAAACTTTTAAATTTTATTATTTTCTAAATTCATAATTTAAGTTTAAAAAAACATATTAAAGTAATAAAACTGACAAATGTGTCACAAAATGTTTTATCTTTTTATAATATTAGAATTAACATCGCAAAATCATTGTTTGAGATTTTTAATAAATAATTACTTATTCTCAAATATGACTCAACAATTCTGATCGTCAGTGGCATTTCCAGCGATACTCAAACTTTTCTATTTTACAGCTTGCTTTGCATGAAAAAGTATTGCAGGAATAATTTTTTTTGAGAATGTTAAGCAAGCTTCATCAACGATTCTGAGCAGATTTATATTGTAAGATCACATTCTGCCAATTTTTAAAGCAAATTTCAAGATCTGATGGTATGAACATACAAACAAGATCACAAGTTCGATTCCTAATCTAAACTTAATTCCTAGGAAAGCTTACTTTTTCTACTATAATAATCAAATTAGAATTAATTCCAGGTCTTTCAAAAAACTAAGTTATTTCCTTAAGAAATCTTGAGTACATTGGATGACTCAAGCTTTGAGTTGTGAGTTATACATCTTTGATCCAAGAGCCAAATTGACAACAATAGAAGTTTCTGAGAAAAAGGCATGAAGTTAAAAATTATAAAATAAATAATTGTGTTGAGAATCTTGCCGGTATATCTTAATCTCAAGGTTATGCTGACCACTTACTCAATATTTCTCTAAGAATATCAACAAGTTTTTGTGCGTACCAGAACAAGAGATGATGCAGAAACTCATTGGAATATTTTTTACTCTCATTTTGATCTTTTCTTGGAAAATTTTTCTCTTGAATTTCTTAAAATTCATCATCTACAAAATATCTTTTTAACAAATCAGCAGAGCTTGACAAACATTTTAAAAACAGTATGGAAATTGCTTATGAAGCCTTATTCTTGAATGAATATATTGGAATACATCCATAAAACTTCTGAAAAATATTCAAATTACATTTCTAAACATCAAATAGCCGGTCTTGACCTTGATTTTTTTATGTCTTTTAAGTTTTAGATTCTTTATAAATCAGAGAAATGACATTTGAATTGAAAAAAATTAAAGTAACTTATTAAAGGTCATTCACTTGCATATCCCGATCGGCACTCATTAAAATTCATTAAAATGTTTGCGACCTTGTGGCCAGGTTGATAGTATAATTAGAACAAAGTGGTAGCCACGTGGCAATCACTTTGAGTCCAGTTGAAAATGGTCAACACATCTCACAATCAGTGAAATCCCCTTTCATTTGCAGCAGCAAAAGTCTTATCACAATTTTTAATTTTTACATGCTCGTAACTCGTTTTGCAGGGAAAACCAATTCGACCTCGTTCATATTTCAAAATGCATTTTTTAATAATTTTTTTCTAAGTGCTTGAAGCTGTTTTGGCTCACGGTTAACTCACTTTTGAGAGTGGCAAATACTCATAAATGAGTCTCTTGAGCAATATGCTATGCTATGATCATAAGTAATTATTGGATGCTTAATTGAAGCATATTCATGATTGAATGAAATTTTTAATTTATTTTAATTGATGCAACCATTTTTCATTAATTTTGAAGAAGCGACATCGTTAATTTAATCATTTTATTGCAATTTGATTTCATTAAAAATACGTAAACAGAATGCAATGTGCTATAAATGAAAATAACAAATATTTATATGTTGATTGTAATAACAATGATGTCGTAAGCTAAAATTCCCAGTACTAGCTTAGCATTTAAAAGTAAATCATATGGATTTAACTTAGAATTGTTTACAGGTGAAGAGTTATTTGAAGTTTAATCCTTTCTGTTTTAGATTACTGCCCTAAATTTATTAATTGAGAGTCTAGCTAGGTATTATCATGTCACTTTTGACTATTTCTTGTTAGATAAACATTGTCAACTTAAGATCGAGAATCTCAAAGATGAAGATGCAATGATTTTTAAAATTGATGATCTTCTTTGATTTTACACAGAGCTCGAAGTCGACTTGAGATTTAAATCAATTTTGTTTAACGTAATCGACTCAACTCTAGCATTGCAGTCAAATAATTTCAATGTCAATGTGTTTTTGTAGTTTCATCAATTAAATAGATAATGTTAAGTGTGGCAACCTTGAAGCTAATATCGTAGAAAATAATTTAAATGAATGAGAATTATGACTCATTTGTGCTTATCATTTTACTCTCAATTGCAAAAAAAAATAGAATTTAACTATACAATCAATATTGATATTTATATAAGCTGAATGCTATTAGGTCATACAACTGTTATATGCTGATTATGCAAATTCGATTTGAGAGAATATTAAAATTGAGAATTAGATTTTGCAAAGAGTTCTTAAACTCATCAAATTCTTTTAAGTTTATGTTTAATAGCATAGGGGACTTGGGATGGTACAACAGATCATCGATCGCAGTGCCATCATTCTATTCTTATGTTTAATGGGAGTCAGAGATTTCATTAAAGTTCATTATTTTATGTAGCTTAAAGAAAACGTAGGAATTTGAAGAAAAAAAAACTATTGAAATTCTGAGAAAGTTCCAACCAATCAAATAAGTTAACAACAATTATGTTTCTTATAATTCATTAGACAATCATTTCATAAACACTGAAATGTTTCTTTAATTAAATCAATAATAATTTAGATTAAAAATCAGTCAAAACAAACGATTGCAAAATTCCCCAAAAGTTTATAAAAAACATCATCAAAAGACATTTTTTTTCTCTCTCTCAAATCATGCACAAAACCAACTCAACTTACCTTTTTCTCTCATTTTACGTAATGTGAGAGACAAACTTTAATTTTAAGCTTCAAAAAATTGTTTGATCGCATAACAGTTTTAGTTTGGCTTTCTTAAATTACAGATCAGTCTGACCGTAGCTATAAGATTTATTAAATAATATTTAAGAAATAAAAGAGAAGAAGAGAAAAGTATCAAAATGGTAACTGTGAATAGTTGTTGTTGTTTTAGTGTTGAAACTGGCGGTCTGATTTTGGGATGGTAATAAATTGTGTGATTTTTGGTTTTTTTTTTGTGTGCTTATTTGGATTTTTCAACTTCAATTTATAGGATTGGAATTATTGGAAATGCAATTGGTGGTTTATTCTTATTAGCTATGCTTGCCGGATACAATGCATTGACATGTGAAGATATTTTACAAAATGAGCAATTTCAAGAAGCTTTTCCAGACTGGACTATGGAAAATTGTCAATTTTTGAAGACAAGTAAGAATTTTTTTACTTTTAATCTTGCTTGTAAATTAAAATAGCTTCTTTATTTTTATATCCAGTTATTTTGGTAGGCATCATTGTTGGAATAGTGTCAAATCTTATTGCATTTATTATTTATGTAATGCTTGTCAGAGGAATCAAAACTGTAAGTTTGTCAATAAATTTAATTCTCAGTAGCTGGATTCAAAGATCGGTTTCTAGAACTGCTGTTGGACATATAGATTTACAGTTCAAGATTGTTTATCTCTAGAAACCGGCCTCAGTCGTTCTAAGTGGTGTTGTGCAAATAAATGTTCATAAATGTTTAAAAAATTTCTAGTTCAAAGGCACACGCAACATATTTTACACAATACTGATCACCACTTAGTGATTAGATTTAAAACTTATTATTTTTTTTTCCATTTTCCAGCGCAACCCCGGAAAAATAATTCCAGCAGTTGTCATCAATGGAATTGGAGTTACAATAATAATTCTTGGAAACCTTTTCACCTTCTCATTAAAGGGATTGTTTTCAGCAGTAATTGGAGGTGCAATCGGAATCTACTTCTTCCTTGTCTTATATACAGTTTATGTCAACATCAAAAGTGAAAAGAGGCGATCGTATAGTGCACAATATGCCCACGCATAAATTCCGTGTCTCCAACTTAATTAGACGCTTGATGCACAAATATTAACAAACAAATTCCAAATTGTTAGAATGAGTACAAAAAGAAAACATTACCAGCATTGACATTGACCTTGAATATTTTTTTATAAACCATTCGCGCTTGTTTTTTGTGTGTCCAAAGTTTGAATTTAAATGTTAATTTGCCATAATGCCAAGAGCCAGACACTATCGTAAAAATTTTTAATATTGCTAGTCTGACTCTTACTATAGTTTGTATGATTATCAATGTTTGTATTTACTTTTAAAGTTCTACCATTCAAATTATAAAGCAAATACAATTAAGATTTAAATAAACTCGGTCTTTAGAACACGACAATTTAAAAACTTATGGTTTAATTAAGATCTATTCTTAAATTTAAAGAAATTTTAGGTTTGATGGTGAAATACTAGGTTTGTGACTCAGTTCGTTGATGATAAACGATATGACAATGTTTAAAAAATGAATTAAGTTTTGTTAAGCATTAAGTTATGCAAATTTACACTTTTATCACTTTAAATTAAAATTGTAAATCTTCAAAAATTATCGACAAAAAAAAAATTAAAACCTGTTGATTAAGTTTGCATTACGAAAAGTTTGAGAATCACAGTTTTTCAACTTTCAAACAATGATTCCTGATTGTGCCGAGCGGGGATATATGCTTAAAGATTTTCACTCTATGTGACTTGAATTTTGCATCTTTGGTCCTCCTCCTCATGTAAGATAATGTAAGAACATGACTTTAGTGCAAGTCTAGAACATGCATCAAGTGCAATGGTTTTGAAAGGAATCTCAAATGTAAGTATATCCCTTAAATCACTTTCGATTGGCAAAAAGTTGGCTTTTGCACCACACATAGTTGAGTTTTAGAGCTGAAAAGTTCAAATTTTGAACTCTAATGAATTTACACTGCTCTAAATAAATCTACACAAATTTCTTATCTTACAGCGAAACTACGGTAAATTACAGCCCGCGATCATTTATCAAGGAATTAAAATTTTCGTATTTTTACTTATAATAATTGGACTATGCTCATCTGAAGGATTTTCTTCTAGCGTTGCTTCCTACTTTTTTGAATGCATTTTGGAAGTTTACTTTACAATCGTCATGTATTCGTTGTTTGTTAAATTGAGGAGTGAAGGCTCAACATCCTATGGAGGATCAGCATAAAAAGATGGAGATTTACATTCGATGTCTCCTGTATCATAATTTAATAATAAATGTGGACTTATAAAGTCTTTCTGTAAAGCGAATAAAATTTAAATTTCTGATAAATATGAAAAGTTGTTTTTAATCAGTTTGAATCATTTCTACAATTATAATAATTCTCTGGAATTTTAAAAGGAAATATGCTGAAAAAGTCGAGAATGCAATTGCATTTTTAAATGAATGTAAATAAGCATGAATAAACACGATAACTTAATTTAAACAAACTTTAATTATCATAAAAACTATATACAGAGCATCAAATTCAGAAATTATGTATTTCTAAATTAAAAGTCATGCAATAACGTCAAAGAAAATGTCCAAAGCGTTCAGTTTCATCGCAATAGTCATGTGAATGAGTAAAAAGGGACATTGTCAGTGATGATGAACTCAAAAGTCTTTTTACCTTCATGTGAATTATTGAAGATTCAGAAATTTCTGATAATTTTTAGTCTAGAAAGTGGTGGATATGCGATTGGGATGTAAGTTTCTTTTTGCTTATAAGAAATTAAAGTTTGAGAAGTGGAGATCAAAACTTTTCCAATTTCAGATTCAACTTTTTAAAAGATTTAAGCATTATGACTGTTATTCTACTAAATATGACTGAAAACTATGATGAATCTGATAATTTGAATTTTCTTAATGATTTCATACCCAGAAACAATCAATGTAAGCAAATCAAACAGTTATTCTCACATAAATTTCAATTGATTAATAAGAATTAATTTCATTTTGTTTTTTTTTTGCTTACTAAAGTTGATATTTTAAAATTTTTACTATTAATATTCTACATCCGGTCGATCATCGATGTTCTTCTAATCGTTGGGATTTACAGTGTAAGCAGTTTCATTTCAATTACTTCCAAACTAATCCTGAATTAAAAACTTACTTTACAGCAAAAACCAGAAATTTTAATACCAACAATTTTTACTTGCTTCTCATGGGCTGTCATGTATTCAATTTTGGGATTCACACTGATTTTCTTCGACATGGATCTGGTTGTTGTTATTGGTGGTGTGCTGCTTGGTTTCTTTTACGGATATAAATTTTCATGCATTTATTCAGTTTACTTTATGATGCATGAAGGTAAAGTGTAATTAAAGCTTTAATATATTTTTAAAATAATAAAGGACATGCGAATTTCATGTTGTGTAATTACATCTTGTGAGGATGAATTTGAGCTTTTTATGAACAAAGCAAATCTAATAAAGTTGAGAATGAAAAGTTTTAAACTTTATTTTCAGTTGGGTTTAAGGATAAAACCCAAAATTCTCCCCTAGCTCTGCATATTACACCACGTAAAATTTATTCTCAATCCTAACGATTACAAAACTTTTACTTTTATATCAAACTGTCGCGCAGGCGTTGTCAGGATGTTTTGATTTTTGCAAGAATAAAAAGTGAAACTTTTTTCATTTAAAGGAAATCATTCGCAGACTGAGGTAACTTCCATAAACATGATTCGGATTGAGAAATTCCTGACTATTTTTGAACTGGGTAAGCTGAAGGAGTTGCTTTTAATCAATAGATTATTAAAATAAATAATTTGTACAATTTTAGAGACGGGAGGGCTGTTTATAGGATATTTTGGATTGATCTCAAGCTCATTCATATTAATCTTTTGCATATTTACGCTCACAAAAATTTTCACTGAATGGGATACACTTGAAGAATCGCTGCATACAATGAGAATGGAAAAGGACATGAATCTACAAAGTCCAGAAGGAATGGAACTTTTTAAGCACAGTAAGACGCAAAATGTTTAAAATTTTCAAGAATTTTTCTTTAATATTTTTTCTAGCTCTAATCTGGGGAGCTGCAACGATGATTTTGCTGCAAATTGTTTGCATTCTAGCATTTATACTTCTTATTAGAGGCACACGGATGCGCAATCCAAAGCAGATTAAACCAAGCGTTTTACTTTTTGCCATGTTTGCGTCAATGTCAGTTTTGGGACTTTTTGCTCGATTCTCGCCAACGTCAATCGTCAATTTTGTTTTTAATTTTTATATTTTTGTTGTTCTTTTCTCATTGCTCAAAAAGTTCCAAATACAGCAATTCCATGGAAATCACATCATTATTACTCATAATCCTAATTTCATTCCTATAACATATCAAGAAAAGGCATAAATTTGTGGATGTTAACATTAATGTTTGGATTAAACTTGTGTGTTTGTGATTTCATGTACCTCGAAATATTATTTTAAACTCAATTAATCTTTTTCATGTGAGTTAAGCTTATTTAATCAGAAATATAGACTTTAAGAATCATTTAATAAACATTTAACGAATTGAGAGAAAAAAAATGTTGAATATTCAATTATTTTGGCATTTTGTAGTGCTTTTGGATTGTATCATTGGAAATTTAAAGATTTGCTATAAAATCCACAAGACTTTCATTCATGATTCATAAAAATTCCACCAGAACATTCCTTAATTTACCATAATGCAGTCATCATAAAAGTTAAAGTTCACAGAATTGAAATAAAGTCAAACGGTTAAAATAAATTCAAATTTATTTTTGAAACCTCATCCAACTTCACTTCTATTCATAAAAGCTTTTCATAATGAGCTTTGAGCTTTCATAAAGACAACGAATATTTCATTCCTTATTTCCATTCATTTATTTTGCCATTCCTTCAATTTTATTCGCGTTGATTGATTTTATTGATATTCATTATATTGGATGTAATTTATTTTTGACTGATTTTACATTTCTTGAGAAGACGAATGAGATCTAATTAGTTTCAAAGTCATGGCAATTTTGGTAGCTGAAATATGAACAGCATTTAACGCATGATTACTATGTAAATGGCCGATAAAATATCATATTACTTGCTTCTTGAGTTTGTTCGATGCTTAGATAAGTATCAATTTAGAAAACTGTACAAGAACTAAGTATTATCAGCAATATTGAGTTGCACCAAAAAGGAAAATTTAACCATTTTTTGGATGGTTTACCATTGTCTCACTTGCTTTTTGCCTGCAAACACATAAATTCTTACCATTGTAAAACGTAAAGCTTCATCTATCTCAAAGCTATTTTAAAATCTAACTTCCAAGGCTACAAATGTCTTAAAACCATCAAAATACAACTCATTGTTCAAAATATCACTAAATTGTTCATTTGATGTCTCATAAATAGAAAAGTTTTTACTTTTTCGATGTCAATTTCATAGAACTTCTACTTACTTCATGTTTTTTGCTTACCATTGTCAACAAAGTACTCAAATCCAGTTACAGCAATAAGAAATTGATTCAAATTGACATCTTTTTTATTCACATTTTTATGGTTTAGTGCTTCTATTCATGCTTCTATTTTTGTGTGTGCTTAGATTGATACATGAAAAAGATTAAGCTGCGGAAAAAGGAAGAAACTTTTTTTTTGTTCCTATTCTTGTGTCATAAAAATTGCTTCTATTGAATTCCTTTCGTGTTTTATTAAAGTCATCTGAATATAAGTAGCTTCACAAAAGTGCTATCAAGTGCAGTTTTAAAAAGCCATTGATTCAAGACAATGTTCATATATCCTTTTTCGTCACATTTTATTCTTATTGTTTGCTCAATTCAATTTGCTTTACAAAAATCCTTATGACATACATTCAGCACACAAAAAGAGAGCAGCACAAAAGATGTTTGGTTCAATGAACTAATCTATGGGATATAAAGGAGGACATTATTGAAATGATGAAGATCTATTGCCATTTTTCTTTTCAGTATCATAAACATTAAAGCTTTAAATGTTGTCATAAGCAACAGGCAATCGAGCATTTTACAAATCTTGATTTCCACGTTAAAACCTTGAATGGAAATGTAGACGGGAGGCAACAAATCCCTCAAGTATTATTTTTTGACAACATTCATAAGAAAAATAAGCAACTTTGAAGCTGAATGATGGTCGAGAGCAAGCTTAAATGTTTACTTGACTTTGTTTTGTTTGTTTATAGATAACAATAAGCTTTTCCGTGTATTCTCAATAATGCTCTTGTGGATATAAAATGCGTGTTTTTTAATAATTGACACGGAGGAACGAACAGAGAAACAATTCAATATAAATGAATGAAAATTTAAGTAGTGATGGACATAAAACTTTATTGTTCTTATCTTCAGTTGTTTTCTTTTAGCGAATTTGCAAATTCTGTAGAAGAATGAGCAGCTTGAGACTACTGTAAAATTTTTTTTTCTATTGCTTCAAGTTTTAGTTGCTTTTAAAGGAGATCTGCGTTGTTAAAGGTTGGCATTCTTGAATATTGAAGGATTCATGAATTTTCGGTACTATTCCTACATATTCTGGTTATGATTGTACGTTAAAGGAAGCCAGGAAAAAGACAATTTAAATTAAAAAGGGCTTAAAAGTCATTCGTCAACCCCTTTAAAGCTTAACATTATGACCCAACCTTAATATAATCAAAAATGTTTTCAAATCAGGATATAGAATATTCACAACTTTTCATACTGCAGTACCCGTATCCTTAAAATTAACCACCAACAATAGTAATATCTATTTTTATAAAAAATCATGCAACTCTCAAGTAAACCCAAATGGATAAATTGCAACATTTTTGTAAAGTACTTTTACATGTATCGTAAAAGTTTATTGCCAAACTTTAGCTACTGTTCAAACGTAGGTCATTGACACATTCAGTTAGGATAAGTAAATGAAAAAAGAAAGTTGCATGCAGCATTCAGTAATTACTTTTGTAAAGTTCTTTAATGCTGAGAGAAGCACAAACGAATGCATGCATGAGGGAAAAAAATTCTGAATTCACAGAAAATTGAAAACTCATTAAGACTTTACAGAACTAACGAAAGGCATAGGAATGTGAATGTCGACGACATGCAATTAATTTTTATTATCCTCATTATGATTTAGGTATTAAAAATGTGTAGACACAAACAAACAAACAAAAAAAAGGGTTCAAAAATTCTATTTTTAGAACTATTAAGCGTCTCCTCAGTGACGACGGAAATGCCATTTTGATAGCCCAAATTAGATAAAAGACCACAAAAATTCAAATGCAGGCAGTTCAAGTTTATTCAAAAAATTATTGAGAAATTCGTCATGGCATATTGGAAATTCATTAAGCATGAGCAATAGACGTGAAAGAACAGGAACTCATACGAACGGAAATGAAATTACTCGTGCTAGATGTAGAATGTATGACGTGAAATTCATCATAAATGACAATGTGAATTGCTCACCTTCAAAATTAATGTTCTGTGCTGCCTTCGACACAACGAACAAAGTTGGTACTCAGGGGAGGCTGTGGTAAAGGTTAACCTCAAGGTTTTTTAAATTTAGTCTTAGGGATTGTTCTTAAGTGATGTTTATGCAAGATGTTGTAGCCAACAAGCAAAGAACTAGATCTATGCTTAGTATTTTAAGTTATAATCAAGTTAAGAACAAGATCTATGTGGATTAGGGATGTTTCAGAGGTTAGAAGAAGTCCTATCATAGTAATTAAGATTCAATTCAATTCTTTGACGATACATTAGCTCTTAAATTTAGAATTGCAATTTATTGAATGATCCGAATCATTTTGTTGGCAGCTGAAGTGTCTGCAGTCTCAAAAAAAATGACTGTAAACTGATGTGAAAGTTTAAATCACTATAAGGAACATCAAGCTTCTCTGTTAAGTCTCATAATGCCCACAAAGTTACAAATTCAAGTCCTTGAGACCTGAATATTGCAGCATAAAAACTCTTCAGCTTAAAACTTCAATATCCCACTCCAGTAGCCCCCTGAACATATCCCTGGCAGTGGAAATAATTTTTAGGAAAATCCAAATTGCCTTTTTTGACATTTCAATTGATATTTTATAACAGAAAAATTTTCCACAACATCCCAAGTGGCTTTAAAGTCAACACACAAAACAGCACGAACACACAAAATTCCATGACTAGCTGTGCGGTAATTTCCCATGAAATATGTTTCATATACACATATATCAGGACGTTTATTTCAATTTGTGTCAGTCAAAGAAAAAAAATTAAAAATGAAAGATGAAGAAGTATTTGACACTACAAGTCTGCTGTTCAGGTGACAGTAGAATGTCATTGAAAACTAATGTTGTTTTCTTCTCCAAGTACCATTCATCTCCAACGGAATTAAATTGCTTCAATCTAGAACTTTTCACATTTCCGTCAATGAATCATCGGGTGGGAACTTGTTGCTTGCAAGGAAAATAATTCGAGAATAATAAATCTTGTGTTGAGACTTAATCAGTCGAAGCTATTCACTAAAAAAAAATCACTTCCGTTCTCCCCACCACTATTAATGACATGAAATAATTTTATTATTAAAGTAAGACTAGGAAGACTTTCTATGACGTCGAGGATAACGAAGAAAAATGAGATTATGCTTAAATTCAACAGTTTCAAAGATAAACATTAAGATTATTATTGTTAAGAAGTGTCGGTGTCGGTTCTTGCTGTGCAAGGTAATGAAAAGGATACTCTTTCATTATTCTCGATTGTATTTAAGGAAAGATTGAGATATAATGGGATTTTCGGAGTTAAATTAAGAAGTTTTCGACCTCATTTATTCATTGGGGGGATGTTGTCACTGACTGCGGTTGATTTAGAATGAAGATTTTTCCTTTTGTTTGAGTTGCTTTCCATTATTTTAAGACTTTTTGTTTTATTTTTCTTTAAAATGAAATTTATATTTAAGTAATCTTTGAAATTTTCTTATTCATTTACACATTTTTTGAAAACGAGAACGACAATTTATTTCACAAGAATTAATTTATTACCAAACTTGATACATTAAGGATTAGGAACAGGATTATTAGTGGTATGTCTAGAAAAACTATAAAGAAAAATTCAAAATCTTTAAATTCACAGGAAATTTTACCAAGAATTAATTTGATAAATCAAAAAAATTCTGAGAAAGTTTACATCATGGATTACCTTCCAGAACACATTATGGTTAAAATATTCAAAAAGCTTGACAATAAATCAATCAAAACAGCATCTGTTTGTTTAGGATAAGAAAAGCTTCTAGATTCATAGACTTTGGGATCAATCTTTTATTACGTAACACAAAACAAAACGAAATTTTGCAGTTCCACATCCATGACACCTTTCTGTGCATCCTTAAAAATTAATTACAGATGGCACGAGATCATCACATCGTGTTCAGTCCTCATAAGCAGGGTGGGGATTTAAATCATAAATCAAATCAAAATCATTTTGCAATGATTTGGAAAATTATTTTTGATTTAAATCATTTTATCCAAGTGATTTATTTTTGATTTATGATT